AATCAATAGCTAATCAGAATTTAGAGAATATAAAAAGAAGACTGATTTGTTGGAAAAAAACAACTTATAAACATTGTAGTACTATAATATAATCAATATTTTTAGAGATGTCAAATAGGGAATAAAAAATAATTTTATAGGCAGATGTCCTCCTGACCAATTTAGGTCTCGGCGGCCAATCTTACTGAGACTAGACAGATGCGCAGGAGATATTATAGTGTAGCGCGTGTACGCACAGACACAACGTGCACTCTCTATTCCTGTCACTCTCAAATTCTGATGGGACGATAATTCGACACGAACGGTAAGAGATCAGGTGCAGGACCTACGCTCTACGTGCTTTCCAAGCACGGGAGTGAAACACCACCAACTTCACAACTTCGGGCTGTTACTAAGACTTTCTTAACAGAAAGACTTAATAGCTAAATTTGGCACGGGAACTGAATCCAAAACCTCCAGATCTTCAGTCGTACATGCTAGCCATTAAACCATAGATGCAGTTCCATCATTAGACCATATATAATAATTATTATATAATAAGTTTTGAGACGTCAAAAACTTACTCTCCCGTGACTTTGTTTGCTGTAAAGCATTCGAAACGTCGGAAACGAAAAATCAAAGTAAATCTGCGACAAAAAACCTAAAAGATAGTTTTATTTAAAATGTCAAATATTCGCGTAAGTCTAAGAAATTATTATAGGAAATTTTCGAAGTTAAAATATAATAGGTGCTTTTGACCAGTAATTCTTGAATAGTTTTTTATTAATAGGTATTGGACCTTCAGCACAATTTCTAACCAAATCGTCACGTTTTTTTTTAAATAGTAAACAAATATTAATAGAACACTCATTACTGTGATAAATTAACACATTCAGTATTTTTTAACGTCGTACTGCTGGGCACGGACCTCTAATACTCGGGGCATCAGGCCATAGTCCACCACGCTGGCCAAGTGCGGGCGGACTGAACTTTCGACAACTTGCTAGGTTCTCTCAGATACTTAGGTTTCCTCACGATGTTTTCCTTCACCGTAAGAGTGGTAATGTCATGTCGGAAAAGATTCACACATGAAAATATGAGAAGTGCGAGACCCGGGATTTGAACCCGCTTCACTCGGTCTCCCAAGCGAGCGCGTCACCACTGGGTGATAAATTAAATGTTAATAAATAAAAATAGCTAACACATTTTATTATAAGTCTATGTAACAAAAAATAATAATTAATGAAGCTTATTATACTTAACTCTGTTTCAAGGGGAAGAGAATTAATGTTTAAAAAATAAAAATAAAATAGCATTAGACTAGTATAGTATTAGTATTATTGATATTTTCTTCTCGACAATTATAAATTAACGAGTAATACTTTAATATATATAAATATTTTTTATCCTTTAAAGAAAGTACCTACAGCAAAATCAAGATTAAAGTTGCATAAACAGCAAATCACGCTACTATTTTTGACTTGGACATATTTGGCTGGCTTTATAATTGGAAACATGCGTGTTTTTTTTAATTTATACAACAGCTAACATCTTCACATAATTGTAAAAAAATATCTAGCTCCAAAAAACTAAAATTTAGTATATTTTTTTTTAATTATCACACCGAAACGGATACTTTAACGCCCGTCATTTCGCGCGCTTGGTGTGACGTCACAGTGTGATATACATACTACAGAAAAATGACGACTCAATTTGTAACAACAAAATCGCTAATCGCTCTATTATGATATACTCTGACGTTATATTCAGTCTGACCAGTGCTTTTCAACTACTTTGAGTTTCCCACCTAAATATATTTGCACTTTTTAATAATTATTTTCTCAATCAAAAAGAAATTAGGTTAAAAAATATTGATATAGCCTTAATTCAATAACAATAATCTATAAAAAAATATCCGGACAAGTGCGAGTCGGACTCGCCCACCGAGGGCTCCGTACAAATTGTAGGAAATCGTTTAACTTTAATTTTCAACTTTTTTTATTTTTTAGATTTTTTTTTTGGTTAAAAGCAAGGTCTTGTAGCACAAGTACAGGAAAAATTCCGAAAAATAAAAATAATTAAGGTTTTTGGTACTTACAAGTTTTCGCGAAAATCTTGCCCATATCTTTTTATCGTGTTGACTCAGGACCTTGATTTTTATACACCTAATAGGGACTATAGACCTCAGTATCTGGTATAAATTTCAACTTGCTGGGTCCACCCGTTCCCGTAAAATCGGTGGTGACACACGGACAGACAGACACACGGACAGACAGACACACGGACAGACGGACAAGAGAGTGATCTTATAAGGGTTCCTTTTTTACCCTTTGAGGTACGGCACCCTAAAAATATTTCACCTTTATTTAAATTATACGCATATTCCGTATTCTTTAGTCTGAGGTACATTAGATAGTCTCACAGTTAGACTGCGCCATTACTGTGGGACGTAATAATAATATTTATTCAGCAGTTTTAAATACTTTACATGCAAATCTTTATTACTATTAGCGTATCATCCATATAGACCACTAGCGACTCACCCTCGCTACTTGATTTGACTTGATTCCCCATACAAACTTTTTTCCCCATACAAACCCATTTTCACCCCCTTAAGGGATGATCACCGGGATAAAAAGTATTCTATGTCCTTCCCAGGGTCTCAAACTATCTGCCCCCTCAACGTGTGTTCACCTTGTCGTGGTGGGGGGGGGCTCAGTAGTGCCCGACAATACAGCTGGGAGCGAAGCCAAGAAACGCACAGTGAGGTGGCCTGCTTCGGTGGGCGGTGGGAGGTGGCCCTCTTTGGAGGCCGGTGTACCATGCGGGTTGCTCCTGGTACTTCTCTGATAGCAGAGTGGACCTTTGGAGCAACCCCGTGGTTATTGTCTGCTTACGTTGTGGTCTGCTTCGGCAGACCTGCCGTCGGGGCGTCGTAGTTGAATGCGTAAGCGATCCTGCGACGCCCCATTAAGACGGGGGAAGGTTTTGTTAGGTTTTAGTGGGTAGTACTGGCTTTGCCGGTGCCACACCTCGTGCGTAAATGCATTTCCCAACGTTAAAAAAAAAAGGGTCTCAAACTATCTTCTTACCAAATTTCATCTAAATCGGTTCTGTAGATCCAGAGATTACCCCCTACAACGTCACAACTCACACCTCTTTATAATATTAGTATAGATAGCCTAAAACTTGACTTGGAATTTTAATAAAAAAATTGCATTTTATATTAGGCTGTTGCTATTCATACTTAAAATAAGGACGAATAATAAATAAAGGAGGCTGTTGCTATTCGTCCGATAATCGGATAATTTAAAATCCCAACGATTTTTAAGTGTAAGAGTTTTTAAGTTTAAAAAAATATGTTAAGGTTCTTTATGCAAAATAAAAACTTAAAAAAACCGACTTCCAAGGCACTAAAATGTAAAAAATAACTAAACTGGGGTTTTCATTTAGAATAGATACCTAATCAGATATTTTCGAAGTCGGTGCCAGCCGATGCAAAGCAAATCTAATATATTTCAATACGTAAAATACATATTTACCTATTAGATATTCGTATCTTTAAATATTGTCGGCTGGCACTGGTCTCTGAGAAATGTATACTAAGCGTCAAAACGTAACTAGGAACGAACCCGAGCGGAGCGAGGGTGAGTCGCTAGTACTTTATATAAAATCGAAACTATTTTACAACGTCCCGTTGCAGGGCATCCAAGGCTCCTTAAGCGAAGAGTAGTCTTTCACTATGCCAGCCAAATATGATGAATATGATCTCATGTAATCTGCCAGACACCAGTTTCCAGAACAGACCAGTTCCCTAGTTATTCACAGAATTAATACATTCAGACTTTTGATAGATTTTTTTCATAGAACACTATGGATACATGGATAATATTAGCCTCGATGGAATTTTAATTTAGAATGTTCAACGTCTTTGGTTTTAGTGTTATTTGAAAAAATAATTTTAATATTACGGAACTTACAAGTCTACAACTGAGTAAACATCACTGACAATCAATTAATCAATTACGTACTAACTCATATTTGTACTTTAAAATTCATTGTTATTTTAAAACTAATATATGGTCTCGGATTCTTTCATCATTTTATTTATAAAGATAATTAAAATTAGCTTAATTTGTAATTATGTAATCATATTTGAAGTCGATTTTAACTATTTTTACCTGACGGCGTCGAAGCCCTAAGAAGGGGTATTTGTTTATCCTGTATGTAGATAGATATGTATGTAGGTCCGACCCTAAGTTCTTTCTTAATTACGAAACGGCGCAAAAGATTCCGTTAGATTTGTATTTTAGATAAAAATGAAAAACAAAAATGACGATCCTTAGGTGCCAATTTGTGTCTCGAAAAAATGTATTCGTCTAAATCAATGGAGTCGGATATCAAAATACAGGGTTTTTAAGAGCCGATTACAAAAATATATACAAGTGACTGCATAATATTATGTTCCTTCGTCAACTTTGCTTTTTACCCCATCGGTTTTTAGAAATGTTTCGATGGATGTTTGTTACTCAATCAAGCCAGAACGGGTGAACGAATCTGGGTGAATTTTGACATAGAGATAGATTATAGACTGGAACAGGACATAAGCTACTTTGATAGGTAACTCTGCAATTTTAGATGAAAGTATGGCTGAGATAAATCTATTTTGTCCCGCGGTTAAAGAAAATTTGGTATTTTATGCACAGGTGCTTCCATTTTCAACCATTCTTCGTGATAAAGCTCTAACTGACCTGCTTGTCAATATTCTTTCATATCATTGTTTTTTATTGTAATTATGTCCACCTCTGGTAATTCCTTCGAGAATTTCCACGGCCTGCAATACTTCCACGAGCGGGTCGCGAGCCTCTTTTGAAATTACTCTGAGTATTGGTTATTTATAGAGTATTGAGGAAGGTGATTATTATAACAAATTTCACCCCGCGACGGAGGATTGTTACAAGAATTTAAGGGCATAGTACTTTGATTGCTTTGTTCATAGCAATTAAATTGAGTTCCACCCGATGGAATTTCGAATATTCTGCCCACGATCGAGTGATTTATTTGGATTACCCTTGTTTGCGAAGGTATACTCGTTACTCCAACGCCAAAAACTCCACGGCCAAAAAGCTTTGCGTACTCCACCAGAATTTTTTATGGCTAAAGAGAATGCTTTGGAATCAGCTAATCGTGTCGTTGGTGGTGGTATTTTATTCAGAGATGTTTTACTAAGGGGTCGCGAAGTTGGCTTTTGATTGTTTCACTTGCCTGTAATTGCGCTGGCTACCCTATCTTTCAAACCGGAATACAACAATGTAATCATTGTTGCTTGGCGGGAGAAATAGATAAGGGGGTGGTATCCATCCAGTCGGACTCCTTAAGCTTGACAGAGTCCTACCAGTGACAGTTTCAGTTTCAGCGTATCATCAGACCATGAGGTGCTTGTAACAAAATATAGGTGCTGGTAACAAAATATACAAAATAAATAAATATATAAATTTTATAAACTTTTTCAAATTCTTGTCCAAGGCCAAAAGATACGGAATTAATTTATTAGCTTATTTAAACAGCAGTTTTTACAATTATTGATTGCCCATTTTTCAATTCTTTTGTTTGTCTCTAATTCTAATATAAACGCGAGGGGACGAATGGTTTGGCATAACGCAGTCGTCTGCCGAAATGACAACTGCCATAGTCCTGGTATTGGCGGTAAGTTTATTTTAATTTTCATACTTACACCTAATATGACCAAATGTGATTTCTGCGATTCCCTATCGATTTTATTACTCAAAATTTACTCTATAATACGTTTGAGAGTCTACTTTTTATTTCTATGGCTTTTTTTGCGGTCCTATATTTGTTTTTTATTTCAACGTTTCGAATGCTTTTGAAAGTCTGTGTATATAACAGTGCTATGGTACGTCGTGACACCTTAACCCTTTGACGACCAAGGGACAATGGTGTCCCAAGAAGTAAATCTACCCTCAAGAAAATTGTGAGAATCTTTACAGGTTCAATTTGTTCTTTATGCATTCTGGAAGGTATCTTTAATATCATTTAGTGTTGGTTAAAACCTCAGTTGTTTTTATCATTCCGAAAAATTATTGCTTTGTGAAGATTTATGAAACTTTACAGAAGCTATTTTTGTAGTCTTGTAAATCCATTCCATCAACATAATCTTCGTTGTACGAGCGAGAAAATCTCCTGAAATAAGTATGCTCCTTCCTTTATTTTAATATGAAATGCGAAGATATATTTATTTACCTACTATGAGTTTCAACGGCATATTATGTGAAGTAGATAAATAATAAAGTGGTTTACTTATTGATCAACATAGTTCCTCCCAGTCCCTTTGAAAAAGGTACGTAAAGTGTTAAAAAAGTTGATTTTGAGCGTCATCAACTTCAAGTACAAAAAAAAATATGTCAATCACGCCAGAACGGCTGAACGGATATGGATGAAATTTGGCACAGAGATAGATTATAGTCTTGAATAGTACATAGGCTACCTTTCATCCCGGAAAAATATACGATCCCGTGGGATAGATTTGTTTATGTTTTGCATGTAGCTACATATATACTTAGAGTTGGGGTGATATTCAAGTGAAGTTTACATTCTGAAGTTTATTTTCAGTCATTTCGGTTGCTCAGTCATGTACACATAGTACATACATGTACATATATAGTTGTCATTTCCATATATAATATTAATTCTAAGCTTACTGCCGACTTTCTGTCATAATTTGATATAGATGTACGTGTTTATTATTTATATATTGAGCCCTTTTTTAAAGTTTCACTGCTTCTTACGGGCCTCCCTTTACTACAAGGGGGATACTTCCCTCCTTAGAGGTTCTCTCAGACATACAGGTAACTCGTACATCCTTACAATGTTTTCATTTACCGTAAGACAAGTGGTAATCATGTTGGGCGAACAGGAGCTCTGAACAGTTCAGAGCGGTTGCGTAACTTATTCGTATAGCCGATTCAAAATGATTTTTTGATCTTTGATTCCAGAGCAATCAATAAATACTCAGTCCTTGCTAAGCAAAATACGGTTTTTTAAAGTAAAGAAGCGTTCGACAAGATTATTAAATATTTCTTTTGTTAAAAGTAGAGTACTTGGTCATAAAGTGTAAGTGCGATGTATGGATCTAGCACTTATACATATTTATATGTGTTTTTTTCTTTTCAGGCTCTAGCTGCAGTTAACGGCCTGCCTCGGTTATGTAAGTATATTTAATATTGAAAGAAAATCAACTCTATGCCAATTAATTTTACCAGGGAAGTGTTTTTTGTGATATAAACCTAAGTTTAAGAACTGGACCTTTTTTTACAAGCTTTTATTTAACTTGTAATTTTAAATAAAATTGTCTTTTCAAATTTTTTCGCGGATTTATTTAGATTTTTGGTTTCCGACATTTCGAATGTTTTAATTGAACTGCTGACATTAAAATATATGCTCGAAATTAAAAAAAAACCGAAACGATAGTTTTATTTAAAATGTAATAATTTTTTGACGTTACCAGCGGCTTATATAAAAGAATGAATGATAAATAAATAAACAAAATAAAATACTACTATAAAAAGTGAAATTTATAATAATACTAGCATTGCCCGCGGCTCCGCTCGCGTTCAGATGACCAAAAACCAAATTCTTAAGTTTTACATATTAGTATACTCTTACATTTCAGTTTTTGTATTTTTTCTCAGAAATGGGTCATTTTCCCGCGGTAAAAAGTATCCTATATTTTGGCCCGGATAACCAGCTATCATCAAAACAAATTTCATCAAAATTCGGCCTCTGTATCGATAATAATGTTTATTTCAATAAGATTTTCCAAAAAATATTTAATGTACAGATTCTTCTTAGTTACAATTTTATTATATGTATAGATTATTAGGTAGTTTAAAAAATTATTATTATATTAAAATATTAAATTATATTAAAAATTAATTATAATTATATATCTGAGGGTCGTAACCTCCAGTCGAAGTCGTTATTCCAAAGTGACTTCACATTCCCAAACTTACTTTCAACCATTTTGATTTTTCAGTAGTATAAATGGTTAACATTTCTATAATATGACATACCTATTACTAAGCATAATAGAAGCCTGAAATTTTTATGACCTTTTCTGTTATAATTTGATATTGATATATGTTAGAATGTAACTTATTCGGAGATTCAAAGTGTACTTGTATTCTAAAGTAATGCAGCAATGATGACTGCTCTGTCTTTACTGTAAAGAAGCATTTGATAAGAATATTTATTTTATTCAATCATTTATTTCAGGCAATATTTACAAAAGGATCTTAAATATGTAAACAGAGGCCCATAGCATATATACCTTAAAACTAACATAATAATATATTAATTATAAAACTTAAAAACTATGAAACATGAATATGAAACATTTTTTTTTGCCAAAAGTAAAACTTTGTCATAAAGCAAAGTGATCTATGAATCTCGCCTCGAGAGGCTGAATTTGCGACATAGCCTTTTTATTATAAAAAGAATATATGTAGATGAAAAATTTAAAGACGACTTGAGTACCTTCTTTTTAAACCCAGTCAAACAAACGACAAGTTTGTCAATTGATATAGAATAATATCCTTGACATACTGATTTTTTTTTGTTCCTTCAACTCTAAGGAAGTAAGATTTATCTTGATCTTTAATGTTTGGTTAATAATGGTTAGACAGATAAATAACTTTGGAATTTTTGCTTTCAGATGCTCCAATACGTCCACCAAACAAAGGATGTGGATGCAGCACTTCCCCTGTAGGACATCCAGGACCTAAACCCAGTTCAAGCCCGCCATTATTGCTCTTTTTATTAACAGCGCAAGATTTAGAAAATCAAGGACTGAATGATTATCCCATTAGTTATTATATAAGTCAAAATTATAGAGATGGAGACCATATATCAAGCAGTTCAAGTAATGGGAGGTCTAGCGGCCGGTCAAATTCAGACGGTAGTAGCTCCTCTTCTAGCAGTGACAGCAGCGCAGGAGCTGGTAGTCAGTCTAGACCAGTAGGTCAACCAGGATCACCCTCAGCAGGCAGTTGGGGTACCGGATGCTCAGGCGGCCAATCAAGCTCAAGTAGCACTGGCTCCTCTTCTAACAGTGGCAGCAATGCAGGTGCTGGCAGTCAATCTGGATCATCAAGTCAACCAGGACCATCTGTTCAACCAGGATCATCCTCAGCAGGCAGTTGGGGTACTGGAAGCTCAGGCGGCCAATCAAGTTCAAGCGGCACTGGCTCCTCTTCTAATAGTGGCAGCAATGCAGGTGCTGGCAGTCAATCTGGCTCATCAGGTCAACCAGGGCCGTCTGGTCAACCAGGACCATCTGGACAACCAGGACCATCTGGTCAACCAGGATCATCAGGTCAACCAGGACCATCAGGTCAACCCGGATCATCAGGTCAACCAGGATCATCAGGTCAACCAGGATCATCAGGTCAACCAGGATCATCAGGTCAACCAGGACCATCAGGTCAACTAGGACCATTAGGTCAACTAGGATCATCAGGTCAACCAGGATCACCCTCAGCAGGCAGTTGGGGTACCGGAAACTCAGGTGGCCAATCAAGTTCAAGCGGCACTGGCTCCTCTTCTAATAGTGGCAGCAATGCAGGTGCTGGCAGTCAATCTAGCTCATCAGGTCAACCAGGGCCGTCTGGTCAACCAGGACTATCTGGTCAACCAGGACCATCAGGTCAACCAGGACCATCAGGTCAACCAGGACCATCAGGTCAACTAGGACCATCAGGTCAACCAGGATCATCAGGTCAACCAGTATCACCCTCAGCAGGCAGTTGGGGTACCGGAAGCTCAAGTGGCCAATCAAGTTCAAGCGACACTGGCTCCTCTTCTAATAGTGGCAGCAATGCAGGTGCTGGCAGTCAATCTGGATCATCAGGTCAACCAGGACCATCAAGTCAACCAGGATCATCAGGTCACCCAGGATCATCAGGTCAACCAGGATCATCAGGTCACCCAGGATCATCAGGTCAACCAGGATCATCAGGTCAACCAGGATCATCAGGTCAAACAGGATCATCAGGTCAACCAGAATCATCAGGTCAACCAGGACCATCAGGTCAACCAGGATCATCAGGTCAACCAGGATCACCAGGTCACCCAGGATCATCAGGTCAACCAGGATCATCCGGTCAACCAGGACCTTCTGGTCAATCAGGATCATCAGGTCAACCAGGACCATCAGGTCAACCAGGATCATCAGGTCAACCAGGATCATCAGGTCAACCAGGATCATCAGGTCAAACAGGATCATCAGGTCAACCAGGATCATCAGGTCAACCAGGACCATCAGGTCAACCAGGATCATCAGGTCAACCAGGATCATCAGGTCAACCAGGATCATCAGGTCAAACAGGATCATCAGGTCAACCAGGATCATCAGGTCAACCAGGACCATCAGGTCAACCAGGATCATCAGGTCAACCAGGATCATCAGGTCAAACAGGATCATCAGGTCAACCAGGATCATCAGGTCACCCAGGATCATCAGGTCAACCAGGACCATCAGGTCATCCAGGATCATCAGGTCAACCAGGATCATCAGGTCAACCAGGATCATCAGGTCAAACAGGATCATCAGGTCAACCAGGATCATCAGGTCAACCAGGACCATCAGGTCAACCAGGATCATCAGGTCAACCAGGTTCATCAGGTCACCCAGGATCATCAGGTCAACCAGAATCATCAGGTCAACCAGGATCATCAGGTCAACCAGGATCACCCTCAGCAGGCAGTTGGGGTACCGGAAACTCAGGTGGCCAATCAAGTTCAAGCGGCACTGGCTCCTCTTCTAATAGTGGCAGCAATTCAGGTGCTGGCAGTCAATCTAGCTCATCAGGTCAACCAGGACCATCAGGTCAACCAGGACCATCAGGTCAAACAGGATCATCAGGTCAACCAGGACCATCTGGTCAATCAGGATCATCAGGTCAACCAGGACCATCAGGTCAACCAGGATCATCAGGTCAACCAGGATCATCAGGTCACCCAGGATCATCAGGTCAACCAGGATCATCAGGTCAACCAGGATCATCAGGTCAAACAGGATCATCAGGTCAACCAGGATCATCAGGTCAACCAGGATCACCCTCAGCAGGCAGTTGGGGTACCGGAAGCTCAAGTGGCCAATCAAGTTCAAGCGGTACTGGCTCCTCTTCTAACAGTGGCAGCAATGCAGGTGCTGGCAGTCAATCTGGCCCATCAGGTCAACCAGGGCCGTCTGGTCAACCAGGACCATCTGGACAACCAGGACCATCTGGTCAACCAGGACCATCAGGTAAACCAGGATCATCAGGTCAACCAGGATCATCAGGTCAACCAGGATCATCAGGTCAAACAGGATCATCAGGTCAACCAGGATCATCAGGTCAACCAGGACCATCAGGTCAACCAGGATCATCAGGTCAACCAGGATCATCAGGTCAACCAGGATCATCAGGTCAAACAGGATCATCAGGTCAACCAGGATCATCAGGTCAACCAGGACCATCAGGTCAACCAGGATCATCAGGTCAACCAGGATCACCCTCAGCAGGCAGTTGGGGTACCGGAAACTCAGGTGGCCAATCAAGTTCAAGCGGCACTGGCTCCTCTTCTAATAGTGGCAGCAATTCAGGTGCTGGCAGTCAATCTAGCTCATCAGGTCAACCAGGACCATCAGGTCAACCAGGACCATCAGGTCAAACAGGATCATCAGGTCAACCAGGACCATCTGGTCAATCAGGATCATCAGGTCAACCAGGACCATCAGGTCAACCAGGATCATCAGGTCAACCAGGATCATCAGGTCACCCAGGATCATCAGGTCAACCAGGATCATCAGGTCAACCAGGATCATCAGGTCAAACAGGATCATCAGGTCAACCAGGATCATCAGGTCAACCAGGATCACCCTCAGCAGGCAGTTGGGGTACCGGAAGCTCAAGTGGCCAATCAAGTTCAAGCGGTACTGGCTCCTCTTCTAACAGTGGCAGCAATGCAGGTGCTGGCAGTCAATCTGGCCCATCAGGTCAACCAGGGCCGTCTGGTCAACCAGGACCATCTGGACAACCAGGACCATCTGGTCAACCAGGACCATCAGGTCAACCAGGATCATCAGGTCAACCAGGATCATCAGATCAATCAGGATCATCAGGTCAACCAGGATCACCCTCAGCAGGCAGTTGGGGTACCGGAAACTCAGGTGGCCAATCAAGTTCAAGCGGCAATGGCTCCTCTTCTAATAGTGGCAGCAATGCAGGTGCTGGCAGTCAATCTGGTTCATCAGGTCAACCAGGATTATCCTCAACAGGCAGTTGGGGTACCGGAAGCTCAGGCGGCCATTCAAGTTCAAGCGGGACTGGCTCCTCTTCTAACAAGGGCAGCCACGCAGAAGCGAGTAATCAATTAGGAGAGCTTGGTCATGGTGAACACCTTAAACACCATCTGAAACATAATCACGAAGCCATTCCTTTGCACCACTTGAAACATCTACCTGGAAGCCTTCCTATACATGATTTGAAAAATATTCCCGTTTCCACTTCTGGACACCAATTAGGACACATCTTAAAACACCTTCCTATTGGCCGTCCCAATACATTTCCTTCCCATCGTCACGGAAAGGGTGGATCGCAAAAAGAAGGAAAAGAGTCAGGTTCAAAGAGCAGTGGCAGCAACGCAGGAAATGGTAGTCAATCTGGACCAGTAGGTACACCAGGATCACCCCCATTAGGTAGTTGGGATTCAGGAAACTCAGGCAGCAGGGGTACTGGAAGCTCAGGTAGCCACTCAAGCTCGCACGGCAGTGGGTCCACTTCTAACAGTGGCAGCAACGCAGGAGCTAGTAGTCAAGCAGGATCATCAGGTCATCAAGGAGGCTCGTCAGGCAGTAGCGGTACGGGAAGCTCAAGTAGCCATTCAGGCTCGAAGGGCGGCGGCTCCCACTCTAGCAGTGGCAGCAACGCAGGAGCTGGCAGTCAAGCAGGATCATCAGGTTATCAAGGAGGTTTGTCAGGCAGTCATGGTACTGGAAGCACAGGTAGCCATTCAGGCTCGAAGGGCGATGGCTCCCATTCTAACAGTGGCAGCAACGCAGGAGCTGGTAGTCAAGCAGGATCATCAGGTCATCAAGGAGGTTCGTCAGGCAGTAGCGGTACTGGAAGCTCAGGTAGCCATTCAGGCTCGAAGGGCGGCGGCTCCCACTCTAGCAGTGGCAGCAACGCAGGAGCTGGTAGTCAAACAGGATCATCAGGTCATCAAGGAGGCTCGTCAGGCAGTAGCGGTACTGGAAGCTCAAGTAGCCATTCAGGCTCGAAGGGCGGCGGCTCCCACTCTAGCAGTGGCAGCAACGCAGGAGCTGGTAGTCAAACAGGATCATCAGGTCATCAAGGAGGCTCGTCAGGCAGTAGCGGTACTGGAAGCTCAAGTAGCCATTCAGGCTCGAAGGGCGGCGGCTCCCACTCTAGCAGTGGCAGCAACGCAGGAGCTGGCAGTCAAACAGGATCATTAGGTCATCAAGGAGGCTCGTCAGGCAGTCATGGTACTGGAAGCACAGGTAGCCACTCAGGCTCGAAGGGCGATGGCTCCCATTCTAACAGTGACAGCAACGCAGGAGCTGGTAGTCAAGCAGGATCATCAGGTCATCAAGGAGGCTCGTCAGGCAGTAGCGGTACTGGAAACTCAGGTAGCCATTCAGGCTCGAAGGGCGGCGGCTCCCACTCTAGCAGTGGCAGCAACGCAGGAGCTGGTAGTCAAGCAGGATCATCAGGTCATCAAGGAGGTTCGTCAGGCAGTAGCGGTACTGGAAGCTCAGGTAGCCATTCTGGCTCGAAGGGCGGCGGCTCCCACTCTAGCAGTGGCAGCAACGCAGGAGCTGGTAGTCAAACAGGATCATCAGGTCATCAAGGAGGCTCGTCAGGCAGTAGCGGTACTGGAAGCTCAAGTAGCCATTCAGGCTCGAAGGGCGGCGGCTCCCACTCTAGCAGTGGCAGCAACGCCGGAGCTGGTAGTCAAACAGGATCATCAGGTCATCAAGGAGGCTCGTCAGGCAGTAGCGGTACTGGAAGCTCAAGTAGCCATTCAGGCTCGAAGGGCGGCGGCTCCCACTCTAGCAGTGGCAGCAACGCAGGAGCTGGCAGTCAAACAGGATCATTAGGTCATCAAGGAGGCTCGTCAGGCAGTCATGGTACTGGAAGCACAGGTAGCCACTCAGGCTCGAAGGGCGATGGCTCCCATTCTAACAGTGGCAGCAACGCAGGAGCTGGTAGTCAAGCAGGATCATCAGGTCATCAAGGAGGCTCGTCAGGCAGTAGCGGTACTGGAAACTCAGGTAGCCATTCAGGCTCGAAGGGCGGCGGCTCCCACTCTAGCAGTGGCAGCAACGCAGGAGCTGGCAGTCAAGCAGGATCATCAGGTCATCAAGGAGGCTCGTCAGGCAGTCATGGTACTGGAAGCACAGGTAGCCACTCAGGCTTGAAGGGCGATGGCTCCCACTCTAACAGTGGCAGCAACGCAGGAGCTGGCAGTCAAGCAGGATTATCAGGTCATCAAGGAGGCTCGTCAGGCAGTAGCGGTACTGGAAGCTCAGGTAGCCATTCTGGCTCGAAGGGCGGCGGCTCCCACTCTAGCAGTGGCAGCAACGCAGGAGCTGGTAGTCAAGCAGGATCATCAGGTCATCAAGGAGGCTCGTCAGGCAGTAGCGGTACTGGAAGCTCAAGTAGCCATTCAGGCTCGAAGGGCGGCGGCTCCCACTCTAGCAGTGGCAGCAACGCAGGAGCTGGCAGTCAAACAGGATCATTAGGTCATCAAGGAGGCTCGTCAGGCAGTCATGGTACTGGAAGCACAGGTAGCCACTCAGGCTCGAAAGGCGATGGCTCCCATTCTAACAGTGGCAGCAACGCAGGAGCTGGTAGTCAAGCAGGATCATCAGGTCATCAAGGAGGCTCGTCAGGCAGTAGCGGTACTGGAAACTCAGGTAGCCATTCAGGCTCGAAGGGCGGCGGCTCCCACTCTAGCAGTGGCAGCAACGCAGGAGCTGGCAGTCAAGCAGGATCATCAGGTCATCAAGGAGGCTCGTCAGGCAGTCATGGTACTGGAAGCACAGGTAGCCACTCAGGCTTGAAGGGCGATGGCTCCCACTCTAACAGTGGCAGCAACGCAGGAGCTGGCAGTCAAGCAGGATTATCAGGGCATCAAGGAGGCTCGTCAGGCAGTAGCGGTACTGGAAGCTCAGGTAGCCATTCTGGCTCGAAGGGCGGCGGCTCCCACTCTAGCAGTGGCAGCAACGCAGGAGCTGGTAGTCAAACAGGATCATCAGGTCATCAAGGAGGCTCGTCAGGCAGTAGCGGTACTGGAAGCTCAAGTAGCCATTCAGGCTCGAAGGGCGGCGGCTCCCACTCTAGCAGTGGCAGCAACGCAGGAGCTGGCAGTCAAATAGGATCATTAGGTCATCAAGGAGGCTCGTCAGGCAGTCATGGTACTGGAAGCACAGGTAGCCACTCAGGCTCGAAAGGCGATGGCTCCCATTCTAACAGTGGCAGCAACGCAGGAGCTGGTAGTCAAGCAGGATCATCAGGTCATCAAGGAGGCTCGTCAGGCAGTAGCGGTACTGGAAACTCAGGTAGCCATTCAGGCTCGAAGGGCGGCGGCTCCCACTCTAGCAGTGGCAGCAACGCAGGAGCTGGCAGTCAAGCAGGATCATCAGGTCATCAAGGAGGCTCGTCAGGCAGTCATGGTATTGGAAGCACAGGTAGCCACTCAGGCTTGAAGGGCGATGGCTCCCACTCTAACAGTGGCAGCAACGCAGGAGCTGGCAGTCAAGCAGGATTATCAGGTCATCAAGGAGGCTCGTCAGGCAGTAGCGGTACTGGAAGCTCAGGTAGCCATTCTGGCTCGAAGGGCGGCGGCTCCCACTCTAGCAGTGGCAGCAACGCAGGAGCTGGCAGTCAAGCAGGATCATCAGGTCATCAAGGAGGCTCGTCAGGCAGTCATGGTACTGGAATCACAGGTAGCCACTCAGGCTTGAAGGGCGATGGCTCCCACTCTAACAGTGGAAGCAACGCAGGAGCTGGTAGTCAAGCAGGATCATCAAGTCATCAAGGAGGCTCGTCAGGCAATAGTGGTACTGGAAGCTCAGGTAGCCAATCAGGCTCGAATGGCGGCGGCTCCCACTTTAACAGTGGCAGCAACGCTGGAGCTGGTAGTAAAGCAGGATCAGGTCAACAAGGAGGCTCGTCAAGCAGTAGCGGTACTGGAAGCTCAGGTAGCCAATTAAGCTCAAACGGTGGTGGCTCCTCTTCTAAAAGCGATAGCAGTACAGGAGCTGCGTCTTCAAATAACAATAATTATGAATCAAATACCAGTTCAAGTTATTCAGGAAGCGAGAATAATTCGCAAAGCGAGTACTATGAATCTTCTTCTGATTAGAAAAAACACTTACCTAGTGTTTTTTTTATTCCTACGTTTATATAACCCATAATTTACAGGACTATTTCGACACTTTCGTCTAGAAGCCAATTTAATATACATGTAAGATTTAGTAGTTTACAATTAATTGGTTATTTAACGAATATGTTTTGAAATATTGTACTAAATCTGAATATACTTACAATATATAATTTCACGATAATAGTTTTTGTTATTTTTCCTCCTTTTTAATCCACTTTTGTTTACTTTCCACAACGTGCCTCTTTGGGTTTGAATGGAACAAGATTTTCTCCATGGGCTTCTTAAAGTGAAGGGCATTCACTATGCCGGCCAAATATTATCATTAAATCTGTCTGATACTAGTTTCCAGACTAGACCAGACCAGTTGGCTAATTATTCTACGAATTAAGACATTCAGACTTGAAAGAATTTTTGATGTGAAACATCTATTAGCGCGCCTTGGCAGTAAACCAACTCGTGGTGTAATAGCAAACAGTGGCATCTCGTTGTCATGCCATCATGCCGCTTCTACTTATTCTCTATTAAAAACACTTAAATATGTTCTATTCTATTTATAAATATATTTAAATTCTGTAATTATAATTATAATTAAAAAAAAACAAGAAAAATAATGTTTTTTTTCTTTATTTTACTCCATATTTCGTTATAGGTTTTTATTAATTATGAATTCTAATATTAATATAGATGTTTCACATCTGCTGGCGTGACGGTCAACTTTTTTAATAGAACACCTGCATGGTCAATATGAGCCTCGTTGGAATTTGAATTTAGGACCTTCAACGTTATACGAGTAGATGCCAGAATTATTTAAAAAAAGGCTTTATTATTATTAAGACACTTATGAGTCTACAACTGAGTAAACATCACTGAGAATCAATTAATCAATTACGTGCCAACTCATGTGTACTTTAAAAGACATTGTTAATTTAAAACTAATATACGCTCTCGGATTCCTTCATCATCTATACATATAATAAAATTGTAACTAAGTCGAATCTGTACATTAAATATTTTTTGGAAAATCTGATTGAAATAGACATCATTATCATCATCGATACAGAATCCGAATCTATAGTTTTTAGAATTTTTGTCTGTCTGTTACCGCATCACGAGAAAACTACTGGACAGATTTTGATGAAATTTGGTATGATGATAGCTGGTTATCCGGGTCAACATATAGGATACTTTTTACCGCGGGAAAATATCTAATTTCTGAGATAAAATACAAAAACTGCATTGTAAGAGTATACTAATATGTAAAACCTAAGTGTTTGGTTTTTGGTCATCTGAACGCGGGCGAAGCCGCGGGCAATGCTAGTTTATTATAAAGATGAATAATAATTTGCGATGAATGCAGTGGGGCCCTCATGTTGAGATGCTAGCGAGTAGATTCAGTTCTGCAGCGTTGGCGGTAAAAAAGTAAGACTTCTTACTGATGTAGATACAGCTCGCATATTTTAGTTATTTTCATAGTATTATGGCCTATGGTATTGTACTAATGGGAAATGCTTCTGCTATTAATACGATTTTTGACCTGCAGAAAAGAGCTATACGTTCAATTTATAGCTAGGGTCCTAGAGTGTCATTAAGAGATAAGTTTAAAGAAATAAAAATATTGACTGTTGCTTCTCAATTCGTGTACGAATGTTGATTGTTATGTATGTCCGTAAAAATATAAAAGAATTTTACAAGAATTGTGACACGCGTGACATTAATATTAGCAACAAATACAAACTTGTAATGCCTGTGACTCGTCTTTTGTGGTTCTCTCAGACCTCCTTTCGTCTCCTTCCTTCATCGTTAAGACAAGTGGTAATGATGTTGGAAAATGATTTGCATATATTTGCATATATTTGCATATATCAGAGGTGTGAGACCCGGGATTTGAACTCGCTTTACTCCGTTTCACAAGCGAGCGCGTTAGCACTCCACCACTGTCAATTTATTTCTTATCGATATAAAATTCGGATCATGTAATAATTTTAAAAGCATCGAGTTGATCTGATAGAGCAAGAAGGTAGATAGTGGAACTCCTCAATGGCTACCTGAGAATATGCATTACGAACACTTTGTCTAGTTTATTTAAATGTAAATAGATGGCGTTATATTTATCAATTTCTTACAGATGCTTGTGTAAAATTAATAAAAAGAAATAGTAGAGCTAAAAAAGGAATACTCTGGTTTTGAAAAATACTCTTTTATTAGTAGTGTAGCTATACCTTAAATATTTTCGTGAACATAAATTGAAAAATTTTTATAGCTTTCTGGTAAGCGCCATCTGTCGTCTGTAAATTTTAACCCCTAGAGCCAGAAAGTCTATTAAGGAAATCTTAACTACATAATATAGGTACTATGTTACTAATAAAACTTTCATCTGAAGAAGAAAAACCTACTTAGAAAGAAATATGAGTATATCAGACGATGAGAAACAAGATTAATAAAAAGAAGAGATAAAAAGTTTAGATTTAGCACCATTTGTTATGTAGTTTTAATAAGATTAAGAAGTTTTAATAAGAAGATTTGATCCGAACTTACCAATAGATGGCGCTGTTCAAGGACATTGTGTTCAAGTGAATGAAATCGCGGGTAGAAACCACGGAAGTTTTATCACAAAAAACAGTATTTTACAGTTTTAATGAATTATTTATATTCCCCATGCCGCTCTAGATGATGTTTAGGAATTCATTTTTTATCTATATTAATCTTCATCTGTTTTTCAGTACATGTTATTGATAAATTTCAGAAGGAGATTGATTATATATATGATATATAAAATACAAAGTTTCAGAAATTTCTGTAAACTTTTTAAAATTCTTGTCCAATGCAAAAAAAATAATGGAAAAAATATACAATTAATTTATTAGCTTATTTAAACAGCAGGCTTATTTATCATTATTAATTATTATAATTGATTGCATATTTTTCAATTCTTTTGTTTGTTTCTGAATATAAGTGCAAGGGGACGAATGGTTTGCCATAACGCAGTCGTCTGCCGAAATGAGGTCTACCACAGTGCTGGTATTGGCGGTAAGTGTTTTTTTAATTTTCATAACTTACACTTAATACGACTAAGTCTTTATCTTAAGTCTTTAATTCTGCGATTTTCTATCGATTCTATTACTCATAATTTTCTCTAAAAACGTTTGAGAGGCCTTTTTTTTATTTTATTCTTTGCGGTTCTTTCTTTGTTTTTGTGTCGACGTTTCAAATGCTTTTGTAAGTCTGTGTTATATAGCACGTCGTGGCATCTTAAAATGTTACGTTATTTACTATATTTAGTACTAATATATTTATTAAGATGTTAGAAACAATGTATTAACAACTAAGAATCCCTTTAGTTTCAACTTCTTCTTCTTCCTGCATATTTCCCAAATTCCTTGGGGTCGGCGCAGTACGTCTACCATACTGCTGATCGGTTTAGGCAAAAGTTTTACGACCAGCCGCCTGCCTGACATCAACCCTCTTTATGAATGCTGTTGTTCACCAACATCGTGCAGAAGACCCGAGGTGCGATAATCAGCACAGGATCGTCTTTTACGACATTTGTAATATTTTATCTTAATGTTATTTGCCGCGACGTTTCGTTTTCCGTTTAGTTTAGTTTCTTTATATTAAAAAAAGATTTTCTATCCTAAGTGAACTCCTTACGGTTATGTTTTGCAAATGTTTTTAGAATTTTTGTTTGTCTGTCTGTCTGCCTGTCACCACAACACGGAAAAACCACTGGAGGGATTTTGATGGGTATGGTGATAACTGGTTATCAAGGTCAACATATAGGATACTTTTTACCGCGGAAAAATATCTCATTTCTAAGAAAATATACACAAACTGCAATGTAAGAGTATACTAATATGTAAAACCTAAGAATTTGGTTTTTGGTCATCTGAACGCGGGCGGAGCTGCGGGCAATGCTAGTGTAGTTATAAAAATCATTTTTAAAAACTACCTTTTTTAATGCGCTAAAAGAAGAAAATATAAAATTTGAAATGAGTTAAAATGACCATTTTGTTACATTATACATACATATGTATTTATATAACAAAAGGTTGTCGCGATATTTTACTGAGTTCACAAGAAAAGTAGGGTAAAGTGGTGGCGGCAGAATTATTTCCATTGGAGTGCATATGCTTCTTCACATTAAACTACTAATTAGTCTATACCTCTATACTAATATTATAAAGAGGTAAAGTTTGTGAGCTTGTGACGTTGTAGGGGGTAATCCCTGGATCTACTGAACCGATTTAGATGAAATTTGGTAAGAAGATAGTTTGAGACCCTGGAAAGGAGTTAGTTTTATCCCGGAAATCATCCCTTAAGGGAATGAAAATGGGGATGAAGGCTTGTATTGGGAAGCAAGCTAGGGACGAACCCTAGTCGAACGCTAGTCATTAAATAATTAAAATTATAATTTTTATTCAGATCTTCTTTGTCGTCTTTTTTTGCAGATATCATAATTTAAAAAGGGATTTTACAAATACAATTTTATTTCTTTAACTTTTTCTAAGTACATATTTCCCTTCATGACAAGGGGTGTAAGTGCACCCCCTTGCACCCACCTCCTGGCGCCCGGGACTCAAGAGTTGAGATTTATAGTCATAGCTTTACTTAAGTCACTTAAGTTATAATTCTCTTTCCATCATTTTGATTTCTCAATCAAGTTTGTCAGTTGAAATTTCCATCTATACTAATATTATAAATGTGAAAGTTTGTGAGTATGGATGTTTGTTATTCTTTCACGCCAAAACGGCTGAACGGATCTGGATGAAATTTGGTACAGAGATAGATAATAGTCTGGAATAACACTTAGGCTACTTTTTATCCCGGAAAAAAGTACGGTTATTGTGGGATAGGTTTGTTTTTGTCTTTCCTGAAGCGAGCCCGAGCGAAGCGAAGGTGAGCCGCTAGTATGACATATTTATAAGCGTAATAACCTGAATAAAATATGTATGTAACATACTCGGAGATTCAAAGTGTACTTGCTTTCCAAAGTAACCAATAATGACTGCTCTGTCTTTACTTAGCTTAGTACGTTCTTAGATTTACGCGAATGTTTGACATTATTAAATAAAACTATCTTTTCGGATTGTTTCGCGGATTTATTTTGATTTTTGGTTCCCAACGTTTCGATTGCTTTACAGCAATCATGGTCACGGGAGAGACTGAGGTGTTAGATGTCTCTAAGGTATAGTTGTTACAGACAGCCTACCCACAAGTAACAAAATAAAAAATTGTACCAAGTACCTTACAATATTTTATAACTTTAAACATTTTTATAATTTTAATTAGTTTCATAATTGAGTATGGCATATTATTTATTTAATTTTTGCTGTTATCATTATAATTATTACAATTTTAAAAATATTAATTAGCAATCTATATTCAGTGCTGCCATTATTATATTTATAACCATAAAGAAAAAATATAAAATATAATATCAATTATTTAAGCCACATAAATTGTTCTGTGTAATTTAAAAAAGTTAAAATTATTATTAAATAAAACTATCTTTTCGGATTATTTCGCGGATTTATTTTGATTTTTGGTTCCCGACGTTTCGAATGCTTTACAGCATCCATGGTCACGGGAGAGACTGAGGTGTTACATGTCTTAAAGGTATAGTTGTTACAGACAGCCTACCCACAATTAACAAAATGAACATTGCACCAATTACATTACAATATTTTTTAACTTTAAACATTTTTATAATTTTAATTATAATTGAATATGGAAAATTATTTATTTAATTTTTGCTATTATTTTTATAATTATTACAATTTTAAAAATATTAATTAGTAATCTATATTTAGTGTTGCCATTATTATATTTATAACCATAAAGAAAAAATATAAAATATAGTATTAATTATTTAAGCCATATAATTGTTCTATGTGTAATTTAAAAAAGTTAAAATTAATTAAGGATATATTATATTGTAATGTAATTGGTGCAATTTTCATTTTGTTAATTGTGGGTAGGCTGTCTGTAACAACTATACCTTTAAGACATGTAACACCTCAGTCTCTCCCGTGACCATGGATGCTGTAAAGCATTCGAAACGTCGGGAACCAAAAATCAAAATAAATCCGCGAAATAATCCGAAAAGATAGTTTTATTTAATAATGTCAAACATTCGCGTAAATCTAAGAAAGTATTAAGTTAAAATTAATTAAGAATAATAATTTTAATTTAGTTTGCTATTATTTAAGAAGACAATTTACTAAGCAACACTATTATTATATACTTTTCTTTATAAATTTTTACTTTGTGGATCAAAATGATAGCATTTCAGATTAATATTTTTTATTTTTTATTTGTAAAAGTATTAGTGTATTAGTTTATCAAAATTTGTTCTTTTATGTATATGTTTTTTTTCTTTTCAGGCTATAACTGCAGTTAACAGCCTGCCTTGCTTATGTAAGTACTTTTTAGAATGAAACAAAATCACCTCTATACTTATTATTTCAACTTTAGGGAAAGTAACTTCAAGTCGAAGTCGTTTTTGCAAAGTTAATTTTATATTCCTAAGCTGACTGTGAAACATTTTGATTTCTTAGTAGTAAATATAAATTTATACATATTTCTATAATTTGCAACTGACAAACCGAATGAAATGGCAGTAGTGTTGCCAGAATTTTTCGGAAAAAAACCCAATGTCAATTGACATTGGCATTTCTTCCAAAAATGCTTGGAAATTGATTGTTTTTCTCAATAGCATACACTTTTTTACTTGAATATCTTCGGACATAGGTTGTTCTAACTAAAACAAGATATTGGATCTTCTACAGAAAGTATGTAGCTAACCATAGAAATGATAATATTATTGAAGTAAAACTTCTTTAGAACGTTCTGGATTTGAAACTCGATGAAAAGTAATGGAACACTAAAAAGAGACAAACACATCAAAATATAGCATTAAGCCGGCGAGAGAATGAGATAGAATACATTGTCATTTGCGAACCGTTGTTATTTGAGATAGATACATTACACAGGAAGTGAAAAATAATTAAACTTATTACTGAATAATATGTAATGTATATTTATGTAAAATATAATGTAAAATAACTTTTAAAGTTGGTAAAAATATTATAAAATAAATAAATCTTATAATTATCTTACTCCTGATACTCAATATTCATCTTATTCTCTCGTAGGTTACTTTTTTCTGAAGCTTCATTTCTACCGTGTGTGAATTGCAAAAACACGCACTTATTTTTTCATATTTTTTTACATCGTTTGCTTTTCTAAATGAACCCACATGTGGCAAGCTTACTAACCTGAATTATAGATGAATTTTTCTGCTATAATTTGATATTGATGTATGCTAGTATGTAACTTATTCGGAGATCCGAAGTGTACTTGATTTCCAAAGTAACCAATAAAAACAGCTCTGTTTTTACTAAGCAAAGTAAAGTTTTCTAAAGTAAAGAAGCGTTTGACAAAAATATGAAACATTTGTTTTTGCTAAAATTAAAGTATGTGATCTATGGATCTCGCCATGAGAGGCTAAATTTGGGACATAACATTTCCATTATAGAAAGAACAGAGATGAAAAATTTAAAGACGAATTGAGTATCTATTTTTTGAAGATGGTCAAACAAACAAGTTTGTTAAATGATATAGAATAATATCCCCGATCTACTTATTCCTTGTTGTTCATTCAACTCTGAGGAAATAAAATTTATTTTGATCTTTGAAGTTTCATGCATAGACAGATAAACAACTTTTGAATTTATACTTTCAGATGCTCCAATACGTCCACCAAACAAAGTATGTGGATGCAGCACTTCCGCTGTAGGACATCCAGGACCTAATCCCGGTTCCAGTCCGCCATTATTGCTCTTTTTATTAACAGCGCAAGATCTAGAAAATCAAGGAAAGTATGATTATCCCCTTAGTTATTATATTGGTCAAAACTATGGAAATGGAGGCTATTTATCAAGCAGTTCAGGTCATGGGAGCTCTAGCAGCCAGTCACACTCAGTCGGTAGTGGCTCCTCTTCTATGAGTGGCAGCAACGCAGGCGCTGGATCTGGATCATCATCAGGCCCTCAAGGAACATCCTCATCTGGCGGTTATGGTGCCGCAAACTCTCGTGGCGGATCGCGCTCGAGCGGCGATGGCTCCTCCTCCTCTTCTGTGAGTGGCAGCGACGCAGGCGCTGGATCTGGATCATCATCACGCCCTCAAGGAACATCCTCATCTGGCGGTTATGGTGCCGCAAACTCTCGTGGCGGATCGCGCTCGAGCGGCGATGGCCCCTCCTCCTCTTCTGTGAGTGGCAGCGACGGAGGCGCTGGATCTGGATCATCATCAGGCCCTCAAGGAACATCCTCATCTGGCGGTTATGGTGCCGCAAACTCTCGTGGCGGATCGCGCTCGAGCGGCGATGGCCCCTCCTCCTCTTCTGTGAGTGGCAGCGACGCAGGCGCTGGATCTGGATCATCATCAGGCCCTCAAGGAACATCCTCATCTGGCGGTTATGGTGCCGCAAACTCTCGTGGCGGATCGCGCTCGAGCGGCGATGGCCCCTCCTCCTCTTCTGTGAGTGGCAGCGACGCAGGCGCTGGATCTGGATCATCATCATCAGGCCCTCAAGGAACATCCTCATCTGGCGGTTATGGTGCCGCAAACTCTCGTGGCGGATCGCGCTCGAGCGGCGATGGCCCCTCCTCCTCTTCTGTGAGTGGCAGCGACGCAGGCGCTGGATCTGGATCATCATCAGGCCCTCAAGGAACATCCTCATCTGGCGGTTATGGTGCCGCAAACTCTCGTGGCGGATCGCGCTCGAGCGGCGATGGCCCCTCCTCCTCTTCTGTGAGTGGCAGCGACGCAGGCGCTGGATCTGGATCATCATCAGGCCCTCAAGGAACATCCTCATCTGGCGGTTATGGTGCCGCAAACTCTCGTGGCGGATCGCGCTCGAGCGGCGATGGCCCCTCCTCCTCTTCTGTGAGTGGCAGCGACGCAGGCGCTGGATCTGGATCATCATCAGGCCCTCAAGGAACATCCTCATCTGGCGGTTATGGTGCCGCAAACTCTCGTGGCGGATCGCGCTCGAGCGGCGATGGCCCCTCCTCCTCTTCTGTGAGTGGCAGCGACGCAGACGCTGGATCTGGATCATCATCAGGCCCTCAAGGAACATCCTCATCTGGCGGTTATGGTGCCGCAAACTCTCGTGGCGGATCGCGCTCGAGCGGCGATGGCCCCTCCTCCTCTTCTGTGAGTGGCAGCGACGCAGGCGCTGGATCTGGATCATCATCAGGCCCTCAAGGAACATCCTCATCTGGCGGTTATGGTGCCGCAAACTCTCGTGGCGGATCGCGCTCGAGCGGCGATGGCCCCTCCTCCTCTTCTGTGAGTGGCAGCGTCGCAGGCGCTGGATCTGGATCATCATCAGGCCCTCAAGGAACATCCTCATCTGGCGGTTATGGTGCCGCAAACTCTCGTGGCGGATCGCGCTCGAGCGGCGATGGCCCCTCCTCCTCTTCTGTGAGTGGCAGCGACGCAGGCGCTGGATCTGGATCATCATCAGGCCCTCAAGGAACATCCTCATCTGGCGGTTATGGTGCCGCAAACTCTCGTGGCGGATCGCGCTCGAGCGGCGATGGCCCCTCCTCCTCTTCTGTGAGTGGCAGCGACGCAGGCGCTGGATCTGGATCATCATCAGGCCCTCAAGGAACATCCTCATCTGGCGGTTATGGTGCCGCAAACTCTCGTGGCGGATCGCGCTCGAGCGGCGATGGCCCCTCCTCCTCTTCTGTGAGTGGCAGCGTCGCAGGCGCTGGATCTGGATCATCATCAGGCCCTCAAGGAACATCCTCATCTGGTGGTTATGGTGCCGCAAACTCTCGTGGCGGATCGCACTCGAGCGGCGATGGCCCCTCCTCCTCTTCTGTGAGTGGCAGCGACGCAGGCGCTGGATCTGGATCATCATCAGGCCCTCAAGGAACATCCTCATCTGGCGGTTTATGGTGCCGCAAACTCTCGTGGCGGCTCGCGCTCGAGCGGCGATGGCCCCTCCTCCTCTTCTGTGAGTGGCAGCGACGCAGGCGCTGGATCTGGATCATCATCAGGCCCTCAAGGAACATCCTCATCTGGCGGTTTATGGTGCCGCAAACTCTCGTGGCGGATCGCGCTCGAGCGGCGATGGCCCCTCCTCCTCTTCTGTGAGTGGCAGCGTCGCAGGCGCTGGATCTGGATCATCATCAGGCCCTCAAGGAACATCCTCATCTGGCGGTTATGGTGCCGCAAACTCTCGTGGCGGATCGCGCTCGAGCGGCGATGGCCCCTCCTCCTCTTCTGTGAGTGGCAGCGACGCAGGCGCTGGATCTGGATCATCATCAGGCCCTCAAGGAACATCCTCATCTGGCGGTTATGGTGCCGCAAACTCTCGTGGCGGATCGCGCTCGAGCGGCGATGGCCCCTCCTCCTCTTCTGTGAGTGGCAGCGACGCAGGCGCTGGATCTGGATCATCATCAGGCCCTCAAGGAACATCCTCATCTGGCGGTTATGGTGCCGCAAACTCTCGTGGCGGATCGCGCTCGAGCGGCGATGGCCCCTCCTCCTCTTCTGTGAGTGGCAGCGACGCAGGCGCTGGATCTGGATCATCATCAGGCCCTCAAGGAACATCCTCATCTGGCGGTTATGGTGCCGCAAACTCTCGTGGCGGATCGCGCTCGAGCGGCGATGGCCCCTCCTCCTCTTCTGTGAGTGGCAGCGTCGCAGGCGCTGGATCTGGATCATCATCAGGCCCTCAAGGAACATCCTCATCTGGCGGTTATGGTGCCGCAAACTCTCGTGGCGGATCGCGCTCGAGCGGCGATGGCCCCTCCTCCTCTTCTGTGAGTGGCAGCGACGCAGGCGCTGGATCTGGATCATCATCAGGCCCTCAAGGAACATCCTCATCTGGCGGTTATGGTGCCGCAAACTCTCGTGGCGGATCGCGCTCGAGCGGCGATGGCTCCTCCTCCTCTTCTGTGAGTGGCAGCGACGCAGGCGCTGGATCTGGATCATCATCACGCCCTCAAGGAACATCCTCATCTGGCGGTTATGGTGCCGCAAACTCTCGTGGCGGATCGCGCTCGAGCGGCGATGGCCCCTCCTCCTCTTCTGTGAGTGGCAGCGACGCAGGCGCTGGATCTGGATCATCATCAGGCCCTCAAGGAACATCCTCATCTGGCGGTTATGGTGCCGCAAACTCTCGTGGCGGATCGCGCTCGAGCGGCGATGGCCCCTCCTCCTCTTCTGTGAGTGGCAGCGACGCAGGCGCTGGATCTGGATCATCATCAGGCCCTCAAGGAACATCCTCATCTGGCGGTTATGGTGCCGCAAACTCTCGTGGCGGATCGCGCTCGAGCGGCGATGGCCCCTCCTCCTCTTCTGTGAGTGGCAGCGACGCAGGCGCTGGATCTGGATCATCATCAGGCCCTCAAGGAACATCCTCATCTGGCGGTTATGGTGCCGCAAACTCTCGTGGCGGATCGCGCTCGAGCGGCGATGGCCCCTCCTCCTCTTCTGTGAGTGGCAGCGACGCAGACGCTGGATCTGGATCATCATCAGGCCCTCAAGGAACATCCTCATCTGGCGGTTATGGTGCCGCAAACTCTCGTGGCGGATCGCGCTCGAGCGGCGATGGCCCCTCCTCCTCTTCTGTGAGTGGCAGCGACGCAGGCGCTGGATCTGGATCATCATCAGGCCCTCAAGGAACATCCTCATCTGGCGGTTATGGTGCCGCAAACTCTCGTGGCGGATCGCGCTCGAGCGGCGATGGCCCCTCCTCCTCTTCTGTGAGTGGCAGCGTCGCAGGCGCTGGATCTGGATCATCATCAGGCCCTCAAGGAACATCCTCATCTGGCGGTTATGGTGCCGCAAACTCTCGTGGCGGATCGCGCTCGAGCGGCGATGGCCCCTCCTCCTCTTCTGTGAGTGGCAGCGACGCAGGCGCTGGATCTGGATCATCATCAGGCCCTCAAGGAACATCCTCATCTGGCGGTTATGGTGCCGCAAACTCTCGTGGCGGATCGCGCTCGAGCGGCGATGGCCCCTCCTCCTCTTCTGTGAGTGGCAGCGACGCAGGCGCTGGATCTGGATCATCATCAGGCCCTCAAGGAACATCCTCATCTGGCGGTTATGGTGCCGCAAACTCTCGTGGCGGATCGCGCTCGAGCGGCGATGGCCCCTCCTCCTCTTCTGTGAGTGGCAGCGACGCAGACGCTGGATCTGGATCATCATCAGGCCCTCAAGGAACATCCTCATCTGGCGGTTATGGTGCCGCAAACTCTCGTGGCGGATCGCGCTCGAGCGGCGATGGCCCCTCCTCCTCTTCTGTGAGTGGCAGCGACGCAGGCGCTGGATCTGGATCATCATCAGGCCCTCAAGGAACATCCTCATCTGGCGGTTATGGTGCCGCAAACTCTCGTGGCGGATCGCGCTCGAGCGGCGATGGCCCCTCCTCCTCTTCTGTGAGTGGCAGCGTCGCAGGCGCTGGATCTGGATCATCATCAGGCCCTCAAGGAACATCCTCATCTGGCGGTTATGGTGCCGCAAACTCTCGTGGCGGATCGCACTCGAGCGGCGATGGCCCCTCCTCCTCTTCTGTGAGTGGCAGCGACGCAGGCGCTGGATCTGGATCATCATCAGGCCCTCAAGGAACATCCTCATCTGGCGGTTATGGTGCCGCAAACTCTCGTGGCGGCTCGCGCTCGAGCGGCGATGGCCCCTCCTCCTCTTCTGTGAGTGGCAGCGACGCAGGCGCTGGATCTGGATCATCATCAGGCCCTCAAGGAACATCCTCATCTGGCGGTTATGGTGCCGCAAACTCTCGTGGCGGATCGCGCTCGAGCGGCGATGGCCCCTCCTCCTCTTCTGTGAGTGGCAGCGTCGCAGGCGCTGGATCTGGATCATCATCAGGCCCTCAAGGAACATCCTCATCTGGCGGTTATGGTGCCGCAAACTCTCGTGGCGGATCGCGCTCGAGCGGCGATGGCCCCTCCTCCTCTTCTGTGAGTGGCAGCGACGCAGGCGCTGGATCTGGATCATCATCAGGCCCTCAAGGAACATCCTCATCTGGCGGTTATGGTGCCGCAAACTCTCGTGGCGGATCGCGCTCGAGCGGCGATGGCCCCTCCTCCTCTTCTGTGAGTGGCAGCGACGCAGGCGCTGGATCTGGATCATCATCAGGCCCTCAAGGAACATCCTCATCTGGCGGTTATGGTGCCGCAAACTCTCGTGGCGGATCGCGCTCGAGCGGCGATGGCCCCTCCTCCTCTTCTGTGAGTGGCAGCGACGCAGGCGCTGGATCTGGATCATCATCAGGCCCTCAAGGAACATCCTCATCTGGCGGTTATGGTGCCGCAAACTCTCGTGGCGGATCGCGCTCGAGCGGCGATGGCCCCTCCTCCTCTTCTGTGAGTGGCAGCGTCGCAGGCGCTGGATCTGGATCATCATCAGGCCCTCAAGGAACATCCTCATCTGGCGGTTATGGTGCCGCAAACTCTCGTGGCGGATCGCGCTCGAGCGGCGATGGCCCCTCCTCCTCTTCTGTGAGTGGCAGCGACGCAGGCGCTGGATCTGGATCATCATCAGGCCCTCAAGGAACATCCTCATCTGGCGGTTATGGTGCCGCAAACTCTCGTGGCGGATCGCGCTCGAGCGGCGATGGCCCCTCCTCCTCTTCTGTGAGTGGCAGCGACGCAGGCGCTGGATCTGGATCATCATCAGGCCCTCAAGGAACATCCTCATCTGGCGGTTATGGTGCCGCAAACTCTCGTGGCGGATCGCGCTCGAGCGGCGATGGCCCCTCCTCCTCTTCTGTGAGTGGCAGCGACGCAGGCGCTGGATCTGGATCATCATCAGGCCCTCAAGGAACATCCTCATCTGGCGGTTATGGTGCCGCAAACTCTCGTGGCGGATCGCGCTCGAGCGGCGATGGCCCCTACTCCTCTTCTGTGGCAGCGACGCAGGCGCTGGATCTGGATCATCATCAGGCCCTCAAGGAACATCCTCATCTGGCGGTTATGGTGCCGCAAACTCTCGTGGCGGATCGCGCTCGAGCGGCGATGGCCCCTCCTCCTCTTCTGTGAGTGGCAGCGACGCAGGCGCTGGATCTGGATCATCATCAGGCCCTCAAGGAACATCCTCATCTGGCGGTTATGGTGCCGCAAACTCTCGTGGCGGATCGCGCTCGAGCGGCGATGGCCCCTCCTCCTCTTCTGTGAGTGGCAGCGACGCAGGCGCTGGATCTGGATCATCATCAGGCCCTCAAGGAACATCCTCATCTGGCGGTTATGGTGCCGCAAACTCTCGTGGCGGATCGCGCTCGAGTGGCGATGGCCCCTCCTCCTCTTCTGTGAGTGGCAGCGACGCAGGCGCTGGATCTGGATCATCATCAGGCCCTCAAGGAACATCCTCATCTGGCGGTTATGGTGCCGCAAACTCTCGTGGCGGATCGCGCTCGAGCGGCGATGGCCCCTCCTCCTCTTCTGTGAGTGGCAGCGACGCAGGCGCTGGATCTGGATCATCATCAGGCCCTCAAGGAACATCCTCATCTGGCGGTTATGGTGCCGCAAACTCTCGTGGCGGATCGCGCTCGAGCGGCGATGGCCCCTACTCCTCTTCTGTGAGTGGCAGCGACGCAGGCGCTGGATCTGGATCATCATCAGGCCCTCAAGGAACATCCTCATCTGGCGGTTATGGTGCCGCAAACTCTCGTGGCGGATCGCGCTCGAGCGGCGATGGCCCCTCCTCCTCTTCTGTGAGTGGCAGCGACGCAGGCGCTGGATCTGGATCATCATCAGGCCCTCAAGGAACATCCTCATCTGGCGGTTATGGTGCCGCAAACTCTCGTGGCGGATCGCGCTCGAGCGGCGATGGCCCCTCCTCCTCTTCTGTGAGTGGCAGCGACGCAGACGCTGGATCTGGATCATCATCAGGCCCTCAAGGAACATCCTCATCTGGCGGTTATGGTGCCGCAAACTCTCGTGGCGGATCGCGCTCGAGCGGCGATGGCCCCTCCTCCTCTTCTGTGAGTGGCAGCGACGCAGGCGCTGGATCTGGATCATCATCAGGCCCTCAAGGAACATCCTCATCTGGCGGTTATGGTGCCGCAAACTCTCGTGGCGGATCGCGCTCGAGCGGCGATGGCCCCTACTCCTCTTCTGTGAGTGGCAGCGACGCAGGCGCTGGATCTGGATCATCATCAGGCCCTCAAGGAACATCCTCATCTGGCGGTTATGGTGCCGCAAACTCTCGTGGCGGATCGCGCTCGAGCGGCGATGGCCCCTCCTCCTCTTCTGTGAGTGGCAGCGACGCAGGCGCTGGATCTGGATCATCATCAGGCCCTCAAGGAACATCCTCATCTGGCGGTTATGGTGCCGCAAACTCTCGTGGCGGATCGCGCTCGAGCGGCGATGGCCCCTCCTCCTCTTCTGTGAGTGGCAGCGACGCAGGCGCTGGATCTGGATCATCATCAGGCCCTCAAGGAACATCCTCATCTGGCGGTTATGGTGCCGCAAACTCTCGTGGCGGATCGCGCTCGAGTGGCGATGGCCCCTCCTCCTCTTCTGTGAGTGGCAGCGACGCAGGCGCTGGATCTGGATCATCATCAGGCCCTCAAGGAACATCCTCATCTGGCGGTTATGGTGCCGCAAACTCTCGTGGCGGATCGCGCTCGAGCGGCGATGGCCCCTCCTCCTCTTCTGTGAGTGGCAGCGACGCAGGCGCTGGATCTGGATCATCATCAGGCCCTCAAGGAACATCCTCATCTGGCGGTTATGGTGCCGCAAACTCTCGTGGCGGATCGCGCTCGAGCGGCGATGGCCCCTACTCCTCTTCTGTGAGTGGCAGCGACGCAGGCGCTGGATCTGGATCATCATCAGGCCCTCAAGGAACATCCTCATCTGGCGGTTATGGTGCCGCAAACTCTCGTGGCGGATCGCGCTCGAGCGGCGATGGCCCCTCCTCCTCTTCTGTGAGTGGCAGCGACGCAGGCGCTGGATCTGGATCATCATCAGGCCCTCAAGGAACATCCTCATCTGGCGGTTATGGTGCCGCAAACTCTCGTGGCGGATCGCGCTCGAGCGGCGATGGCCCCTCCTCCTCTTCTGTGAGTGGCAGCGACGCAGGCGCTGGATCTGGATCATCATCAGGCCCTCAAGGAACATCCTCATCTGGCGGTTATGGTGCCGCAAACTCTCGTGGCGGATCACGCTCGAGCGGCGATGGCCCCTCCTCCTCTTCTGTGAGTGGCAGCGACGCAGGCGCTGGATCTGGATCATCATCAGGCCCTCAAGGAACATCCTCATCTGGCGGTTATGGTGCCGCAAACTCTCGTGGCGGATCACGCTCGAGCGGCGATGGCCCCTCCTCCTCTTCTGTGAGTGGCAGCGACGCAGGCGCTGGATCTGGATCATCATCAGGCCCTCAAGGAACATCCTCATCTGGCGGTTATGGTGCCGCAAACTCTCGTGGCGGATCGCGCTCGAGCGGCGATGGCCCCTACTCCTCTTCTGTGAGTGGCAGCGACGCAGGCGCTGGATCTGGATCATCATCAGGCCCTCAAGGAACATCCTCATCTGGCGGTTATGGTGCCGCAAACTCTCGTGGCGGATCGCGCTCGAGCGGCGATGGCCCCTCCTCCTCTTCTGTGAGTGGCAGCGACGCAGGCGCTGGATCTGGATCATCATCAGGCCCTCAAGGAACATCCTCATCTGGCGGTTATGGTGCCGCAAACTCTCGTGGCGGATCGCGCTCGAGCGGCGATGGCCCCTCCTCCTCTTCTGTGAGTGGCAGCGACGCAGGCGCTGGATCTGGATCATCATCAGGCCCTCAAGGAACATCCTCATCTGGCGGTTATGGTGCCGCAAACTCTCGTGGCGGATCGCGCTCGAGCGGCGATGGCCCCTCCTCCTCTTCTGTGAGTGGCAGCGACGCAGGCGCTGGATCTGGATCATCATCAGGCCCTCAAGGAACATCCTCATCTGGCGGTTATGGTGCCGCAAACTCTCGTGGCGGATCGCGCTCGAGCGGCGATGGCCCCTCCTCCTCTTCTGTGAGTGGCAGCGACGCAGGCGCTGGATCTGGATCATCATCAGGCCCTCAAGGAACATCCTCATCTGGCGGTTATGGTGCCGCAAACTCTCGTGGCGGATCGCGCTCGAGCGGCGATGGCCCCTCCTCCTCTTCTGTGAGTGGCAGCGACGCAGGCGCTGGATCTGGATCATCATCAGGCCCTCAAGGAACATCCTCATCTGGCGGTTATGGTGCCTCAAACTCTCGTGGCGGATCGCGCTCGAGCGGCGATGGCCCCTCCTCCTCTTCTGTGAGTGGCAGCGACGCAGGCGCTGGATCTGGATCATCATCAGGCCCTCAAGGAACATCCTCATCTGGCGGTTATGGTGCCGCAAACTCTCGTGGCGGATCGCGCTCGAGCGGCGATGGCCCCTCCTCCTCTTCTGTGAGTGGCAGCGACGCAGGCGCTGGATCTGGATCATCATCAGGCCCTCAAGGAACATCCTCATCTGGCGGTTATGGTGCCGCAAACTCTCGTGGCGGATCGCGCTCGAGCGGCGATGGCCCCTCCTCCTCTTCTATGAGTGGCAGCAACGTAGGCGCTGGCGATCAATCTAAATCATCAGGTCAACATGAACAACATCAGGTCAACAAACACCATCCGAAACATAATCACGAGGCCATTCCTTTGCACCACTTGAAACATCCACCAGGAAGCCTTCCATTACATCATTTGAAAAAACTTCCCGTTCCCACTTCTGGACACCAATTAGGACATATCTTAAAACATCTTCCTATTGACCATCTCAAAAAACTTCCTTCCTATCACCATGGAATATTTGGATCGAAAAAAGAAGCAAAAGAATCAGGCTCAAAGGGCAGTGGCAGCAACGTAGGACCTAGTAGTCACGCAGTACCAGTCGGTCATCAAGCAGGCCCGTCACGCGGTTGGGATACTGGAAGCTCAGGTGGTAAATCAAGCTCAAACGGTGGTGAATCCTCTGCTAATAGCTATAGCAGTGCAGGAGCAGCTTCTTCAAATTACAATAACTATGTATCAAGTGTTAGTTCAAGCTTCGCAGAAAGTGAGAGCAGTTCACAAAGCAAGTACTATGAATCGTCTTCTTATTGAAGAAACACTTAATTTTTTAATCATTCCTTCGTATTTTTGCCGTTTGCAGGACTATTTCGAAAGTTCCGTCCAGGATGTAATTCAATATATATGTATTAGGTTATTTAAAGAACGTATATCTAAATTTTGTACTAAATTATATTATTGATTTCACAATAATAGTTTTTGTTATTCTCCTCCTTTTTAATCTACATTTCTTTACTTCCCCATGAGTTTGAATGGAACAAGATTTTCCATATCTATAAAATTTTGACAAAAATAATTTATCTATATCTAGAAGTATAATAACATTCTGAGTCAAATCTGTACATTAAATATTTTCTTAAAAATCTTATTGAAATAGTCTTTAATTTCGATACAGAGACCGAATCTATAGTTTTTAGAATTTTTGTCTGTCTGGCTGTGAACGCATCTAAACATACTTTTTAAACGGTCACCTTTGTTATGATAATAAGTCTTTGACATGACCATTGATAATATCCAAATAGTTCATACGATACAAATAGAATATGCCTAAAATATATCTAAAAATATAAATTTATAAAATATCTAAAAATTCATTTTTTTACTGAACTTCATCAATTTAATATCAGATAGAGAGGACTAAGTTTTAACCCTTAGAATAACTTTTAAAAGAAACACAGCTGACAGTATTGAAAAGAACTGCTTGAACAAAAAGGAGCACTACAGTTGTTTTCTTTTTTTAATTTAATGACTTTTTAACTCTCTAGGCTTAAATATAGAATAGAATATAGCCGTTTCAGCAATAGGTATAGAATTATGTTTTACTTGTGCTTTTGAGCGGAGGGTTATGTGTTTAACCTGTATGTATGTATGGCTGACTCTATTTTATCTGTTCCATCTGTTCCATCGTAATTACTAAACGGTTTAACCGATTCTGATGATTCATACATCGGTCGATCCGTCTTGATAACGCGTGTGTCATAGAGGATACAAACGGGGATAAAAACAAAGAGGGGATCAAAACAAAAACAAATCTATCCCACGGGAACCGTGCATTTTTCCGGGGTAAAAAGTAACCTATGTGCTATGGCAGACTATAATCCATCTCTGTGCCAAATTTCATCCAGATCCTCCAGATCCAGATCCGTTCTGGTTTAATTGAGTAACAAACATCCAAATTCACACCTAAACTTTCGCATTCACTCTTTTTTCACACATATCTCTTAAACAAGGATTTTACTAATACAATTTTATTTCTTTAACTTTTTCTATATATTTTCCTTCACGGCAAGTCCAAGAAATCGTCTTCAGACAAAACCGATAATATCTATTATGATGATAAACCCTAACAAGATATGTTCCTTATTCAATGATTATTTCAAATCGATGTTTAAAACTCCTAGTACTTTCCATTCGGGTACAGTTATTAAACCAACGCCTAATTGCAAGATTCCTATTAATTCAATTAAACTCTCGAAAAATATCTTAATAAACTAGATATTAATAAAGGTTATGGCCCTGTTGGGTTGCCATCAATATTTTTAAAATCATGTCAGGAAGTGTTAGCTTATCCCATTTTTTTGTTATTTAGAAAATCTTTACTCATGGGTGAGATGCCTAATAGTCCATCTAAACTATCTTCTTCCCAAATTTCATCCAAACGGTTCAGTAGATCCAGAGATTACCTTCTACAACGTCACAAACTCAGAATATCACAAACTTTACTTCTTAATAATATTAGTATAGATATAAAGTTTCAATTGCATAGCTCTTTTACTTTAGATTTTATTGATATCTAAAAAACTCCGATTTCATCACTGACTCACTGATGATCATAATATTCTTAGGGTACTTCCTAAAGTCCTAGAAAGCTAAAATTTGGTATGTAAGCTAGTATTATAGTTCAATCGGAATCCGGTTTGGGAACAAAAAATTATATATTTGGAAATAAAATAAAAAACCTGAAGTTTTATGATTTTAAAGTGCTAGCAGATCTTTATATATATAATTCTTCTGTGAGTGTGTATGTCACTGAACTTCTCTCAAACGACTGGACCGATTTTGATGAAATTTTTTGTGTGTGTTCAAGGGGATCTGGGAATGGTTTAGATTCACAATTTGAATAATAATTTTCATCAAAAAAATTATTAAAAAAAGTTTGAAATTTTCAAATTAAAGACGTGTAGACAGGACAACGTCTGTATATATAAGGAATAGAAATGTGTAAAATGCCCCCGATGTCCAGATACCCCCGATAAATGGGGGGATGCAAAGCGTTGAAAAACAGGTTCTTTTTCGATTTCCGGCTTACTGTGACGTTCTATCGAAAAATGTTTTCAACAAAAGTTGTAGTTCTAGTAAAAATCTACAACTTTTTTTATAAAACTTTTTACAATAAACTCAAAGTTTTCGAGATATTTGCAGAAAGCTCAGTTTTTAACTTGTTCTTGGTTGTTAATTTTAATTTCTATAATAATATTTTGATTTTCATGAAACTAAGGGAATGTAATCTAACTAACTAAGGGAATGTACATTTAATAAATAAAAAAAATGAAATTGAAATGTTTAGCCATTTCCGAGAAAAGTATGTTTTATGGTCTCGAGAGGCTAAAAATCACCCCCAACTTCAAGTGGACATTTACATTTAAAAAACAAATCGTTCAATTTTCAAATAGGGCTCATTCTTTTCATCTCGAACTCTATTTTTTGAAAAAATAAAAACATTGTACGGGCTTCCTGTAAAAAAACACCCTTAAATATTTAAAAAATTGGAGAAATCGATAATTTTTACTTTGCAAACTACATTTTTTCAATTATCATTGAAGGAGTGTACTTTATTGACCAAATATTTATAAACTGATTCAACTGAGTAATATTTTTCTTATAAAATACTGTGTGTTTCCCAAATAAAATAAAATATATTATATATTTTTATTATTAATATTATAAAGAGTTTGTTTGAACGCGCTAATCTCAGGAACTACTAATCCGATTTGAAAATTTCTTTTTGCATTGGATAGCCCGTTTGCTGAGGCAAGCTTTATGCTATATAATATATATTATATCTCCGCGACAAAAGTATAACCCACCCCCCTAATTTTGTAATATCTAATGTAAGACTAATTTATCTTTAATATTTTTATTTGTTTGTAGTATTATAATATGTGTTCGATTACATTCTAAGTTGTTTTCTTATATTACGGCGTGATTGTTAGTTTGATAGTGCGACAAAAGTATAACCCATAACTTACTTTGGCTTGAACAGCTTCATGTTTTAGACGTGTCAGTTCCTTTTTATACTTGTTCTGCGTTCCTGGTAAATTATTACGTACTAAAAAATTATTTCGATTGATATTTATTTATTTCTAAAATAAAAGGCCACGTGGGAAACGTTTCAACGAAAGTGGAATTAATTTAGTTAGGAAATTGTATTCTAAAAATTGGTCGAAAGTTAGAATTGCAAAATTTATCAATAGAAGTCATCGAGTTGTACGTAATTTTCTAAAAGATCCTGAAAATTATGGCAAAAGAAAGAGGACTGGTCGACCAAGGGCAACAACACCACCTGAAAGAAGGTCAATTCTGAGAGTCGCTCCTAATTTTGCTCTTACACCAAAACAAGTTGCAGTGGAGGCTACTGTTAGCACTAATTTAAGGAAATGTCAACGTATTATACATGGGTGTCGATACTTAAAACGTAAGAAATTACAAAGAAAACGACTGGTATCTGATAAACATAAATTAGATAGATCTAAATTTGCAAAAGACCATGTTCAATGGAAGAAGAATTGGAAAAATGTTATTTTCACTGATGAAAAGAAGTTTAATTTAGATGAGCCTGATGGTTTTAATTACTATTTTCACGATTTAAGAAAAGAAAAATGTGTATTGATTTGACGACAAGCCGGGGGTGGTAGTGCAATGATATGGTGTGGAATTGGTACTTAGGAAAAATGAATATAAAGTTCTGTACTGGAAAATTGAATAGTAAACGGTTCATAAACATAATTAATGAAGAGATTACTTCTCATGTAATGCGAATTGCTGGTCCTAATTTTAGATTTCAGCACGATAATGTCAGTATACACCGTGCACAAATAGTTAAAAACTATTTTACTGAAACAAATAATCAAGTTCTTGAAGGGCCAGCTTATTCTCCTGGCTTAAATATAATTGAAAATTATTGGGGAAACTTATCACGAGCTGTCTATTGAGGATCAAAACATTTTACCACTGTTGAAGAGTTAAAAACGGTAATAATTGACGAATGACAAAACATGAATCAAAACAATTTAAAAAGTTATATGACAGTTTACCAGATCGATTGATTGAAGTAATAAGTAAAAGTGGTGGATCTACTAAATGTTGATCGAAGTACTAAATATTAAATTAAATAAATAATCGCTCTATGTTGCATTTCTCTTGAGTTTTATTTATATTTAATTTACCTGGGTTATACTTTTGTCGCACCGCAAAATTTATGTATCATCTGTATTTGGTTAATTTTGCATTTAACAAATAATACATTGGTTGTAAAATATACTTACCAATACCCTAATTTTGTGTATTAGTAATGTATTAATATAACTAATATATTTTATATTGGATATTACAAAATTAGGGGGTGGGTTATACTTTTGTCGCGGAGTGTATATATCTATTCCATAGTAACCGTTAAAACGTAGGGAATCTAGGGACGAGCCCGGGCGAAGCGAGACCAGTAATACAAATATTAGTAGGTCATGTACAAGGATTCAGTTTGATATAGCCATATTTTCTATATTTTTATCAATATCCCATTTCTTCTATGACATTATTATTAAATACTAGCGACTCACCCTACCTCACCTACGTTTTACCGGTAAATATGAAATTATAGACTATATCCTACTAATATTATAAATGTGAAAGTTTGTGAGGATGTATGGATGCCTGAATGTATAGATGTCTGAATGTTTGTTACTCTTTCACGCAAAACTTACTGAACGGATTTTAATGAAACTTTACAATACATCAGATACACATACGTCAGAATACTCATACATTACTTTTTATCCCGGAAAAATGTACGGTTCCCGTGGGATATTTTTTTTTCTAGAGGGGAACCCGAGCAAAGCGAGAGTGAGCCACTAGCTTGGAATAATACGTAGTCGTAGTAAGAGGTAAAACTGGAAAAGTTATCATCCTTTGTTTTTACTATAAAAATTTTATATGAACTTTAAATCGTAAAAAACATGAAATTTGGACAGGACGACTGCTCTCGAATCAGCTAGTCCGATAATTCCATAAATATTATAAATGCGAAAGTCTGGATAGATGTATGTTTGTTACTCAATCACACCAGAACGGCTGAACGGATCTGGATGAAATTTGGCACAGAGAGATTATAGTCTGAAATAGCAAATAGGCTAATTTTTATCCCGGAAAAATGTACGGTTCCCGTGGAGTAGCTTTGTTTTTCAATCGACTTCAAAAAGGAGGAGGTTCTCAATTCGACTGTTTTTTTATGTTTGTAACCTCAGAACTCCGTCATTTATTAACCGATTTGGACAATTTTTGTGTTGTTTGAAAGTGTATACTTCCAGATTGGTCCCATTTAAATTTCAAAAAAAAATACCACCCCTAAGGGTGGAAAAACAGCTAATGATGAATTTAACCTACTTCTAATTGTCATATTGACTTGAAACTTTGCAAGTGTTTCTATTTCCGTTGATAGTACAGTGGTTCGGTATTGTTGACCTGATCTGATGGTAAGGCCAGAAGGTGGATAGGTGGAACTCTTCAACGGCTAATAGTAGATACTTTGAGTTTGGGCTTATTTTGTTTGATTTGACAAGCGTAACGCGTTAGAATTCTTACTTTGCAACTACTGTCTACACTAAAAAGGGAAAAATATAAACTTTTTAACAAAAAAATAAAAACCGACTTCAAACAAAATCACTAAAAAGTAAAAATAACTGATTGGTAGTTTTCATTTACTACACATACCTAATCAAATATTTTCGAAGTCGGTGTGCTTTGCTTTGTATGGGCTGGCATCGATTTCGAAAATATTTGATTAGGTACGAGTATGTATTTAATAGGTAGGCTTTAATTACTTAGCCAAAGCACACCGACTTCGAAAATATTTGATTAGGTATGTATAGTAAATGAAAACTACCAATCAGTTATTTTTTACTTTTTAGTGCTTTTATTTGAAGTCGTTTTTTATTTTTTTGTTAAAAAGTTTTGTTTTTCACAGAGTAAGGGATCGACTATATATTCCATACATAATTTTAATATTTCTATTCGTACTCTATTTATTAACAGTGCTCATTTAGTGTTGAATATCAACCATGATCATTTTTATAAAATTGTGGAAACTATATAGGAATAGATTAGAAGAATTTTTTTTACTACAAAACAAATAAAATTATAAAATAAAATTGGTTGACAAACAGAGGGGAAAAAGTTATAGAACTGTTTTTTCAAAAATTTTAAAACCTATAGATTCGGCCTCTGTATCGATAATAATGACTATTTCATTAAGATTTTCCAAAAAATATTTAATGTACAGATTCGGCTTAGCTATTATATGTATAGATAACTTGAAAAACAAACAAAAAGAAATAAAACAATATTAATGATTGCAAATATTATATTATAATTTATTGTTTGAAAATATATTATCCAGAAGAACTTACGGCTAGAGCTGATTCTTTACTTTATTTGCCAGTCGATTTGGCATATGCCAAAGCAATGGACTCACTATCATTAGACTTCTCATCTTATTTGGTATCTTTTTGTATACCAGTTGGTTTGTTGTTTTTATCTTTGCAGTCAACTGTTGGTTTTTCGCTTTTCTTTTTATCGTCTTTTGTTTTATGGTCTTTAGATTCATCGTCTTTTGGTTTGTCAGCTTTGGATTTATCATTTCCTTTGTTATCCTTATCTTTGCAGCCATCTTTAGGCTTATTGTCTTGAGGTTTACCATCTTTAGATTCATCGTCTTCTGGATTATGGTCTTTAGATTTGTCGTCTTCTGGTTTGTCATTTTTTGAATTATCGCATGGTTTATCGTTTTTTGTTTCATCGTTTTTTGGGTTGCCACCTTTTGGTTTATCTTCTGGCGGCTTATCTTTGCAATCACCTTGTGGTTCTGGTTTCTTACCGGGTAAATCCTTGAGTACATCATGTTTGTGGGTCTTTAATGCTGAAAATATAAAAACTACAAAGAAAAGTATTTTAAAATTTTAAAAATTTTATTGTTTTTTTTTTAAAATAGCATCACTTTTAAAATATTTTAGATGCTATGAGAATATTTCAAATTAATTTAATTTGAAGATAGTTGGACATCCTATAAAATAATGGATACTTATAGTATTTACAGGTTTTTTTGCGACCTTACTTGGGTGATATTTCAAATATAAATACTCTTTATTATTGTAGAATCCATTTATTTGTTTTAAGAAATTACAGGTTCCATATACAAAACAAATTAAATAATAGTGAAAGATATAAGATACGTATACACTATACAATAAACATAGAGTAAATAGTAGTAAAAATTAAAATGTATCCTATGCATCGTTTTTATTTGTACTAAAATAATTGTATTCTACAAAAATAAAGGCAGTGGTAGCCTAGTGGTAACGCGCTCGCTTGGGAAACCGAGTGAGGCGGGTTCAAAACCCCGGGTCTCGCACCTCTTATATTTTCATGTGCGAATCATTTCTAATATGATTACCACTTGCCTTGCGGTGAAGGAAAACAGCGTGAGGAAACCTTCATGTCTGAGAAAACCTAGCAAGTTTTCGAAAGACATATGAAGTCAACCCGCACTTGGCCAGCGTGGTGGACTATGGCCTGATCCTCCTCACATTGAAGGGAGGCCCGTGCCCAGCAGTGGGATTTAAAAATGGCTAAATACAATGGTATTCTAAATAGAATTACTTACATGGTACAATATGGCATGGCATAGCATGCGCCATGGCAAGGGCCTGAAAACATAATATTTGATTACAATAATAGCGACTAACTCTCGCTTCGCTCGGGTGCGTCCCTAGTGATGTTTTAATTTTTTTGAGCGGAATCCTAATTCTTTTTCAAAAATAAAGTGCCTAAGTTACTCCTTCTAACATTAGCTAACAACCAGTGAAAGTTCTGTGAAAATAAGTTCAGCCGGTTCGGATATTAGCCGGAACAAACAGACAAACAGATAGGCAGACAGACAAAATTTTAATAATTGTGTTTTTCTTATAAATACCGTATATAATTTCATATGCATTTAGTAAAACGCTTTTATTTTGACATTATATGTATGTGTATGTATGTGTATATATAAAACAGTTACATTCGTAGAATATAAACTTATTTTTTCTTAAATAGTGTTCTGTGTTGTTGAAAATTTGAGGAAGAATAGAGCGTAGTTATTCTGAAAAAAAAGCTTTTTTTTATTCATACCTAACAGTAAAGTTCAACAGATACTAAACAAAAACAAACAGATGACAACAGGGGAGATATTTTTTTTAATTTTTTCAAAAGATTTTATATTATAAGTGATTACTTTTATTACTAAAATTGACGATTCAAAAGTGCTTGTATTTAGTTTTGAATAAAGTATATTTTGATATAATTTGAAATAAATAAAAATACTTACAGTTACAAACAGTAGCAAAAGCAGCTTCATATTGACTGAGTCACTTTTGACTTTGAATACTTTCAAAATTCGATTCCATTTATATCGAAGATGCTGAAGCGTTTCAAAATTATATGTAAATAAATATGCGATGAAATAATAGAAGAAATGCATATTTTATTTACTTTTAGAGTTGCATTATTAAATATTTAAAACTAGCACAACCCGCGGCTGCGACCGCGTTCAATATACAAAAAAGCCCTTTGGCTTTATGTTATACAGCTATGTATTTATATATTATATATAGTTTAACAATAATGTATGGAAGTCTGACCGATTTGTTGAAATTTATGATATATGTATAGCCTATAAGCCTTCCTCAATAAACGGGCTATCTAATGCAAAAAGAATTTTTCAAATCGGATTAGTAGTTCCTGAGATTAGCGCGTTCAAACAAACAGATAAATTCGGTCTCTTTATAATTTTAGTACCTATAGATTACGGCACTGTATCATTTTATTTATTTATGTATGTGTTATGTATTTTATTATTTATGTAAATCTCTCTCTATTACATAAACGATCTCTCTATAAAGTAGCCTATAACCCTCCACAATAAATCTATATATAAAAATCGATGTGTGTATGTGTGTTACCTGTAGACTCCAAAACGGCTGGAGGGATTTTGATGAAATTTTCAGGCAATCTTCAGATTAGCCCAGCGAGTGTTCCTGTGGAGTTTGGTAGCGATCGGAAGTTTGAACGTGGGCGAAGCCGCAGAACTGCTAGTAGGTATGCTTAAAAACGCAAAATATTTTTTCAATGAGGTGGGGGGTGGGGGAGGGGGGCGGAGGATAGGATGGACGGAACGCGTGCGATTTAGTTAATTTTTAGTAATTGTCTCGCCTTAATAATTAAATATATTTACTACAGCGATGGCGATTTATCATCGCTTCGCTCGGGCTTATATGGATATAACTCTTTATTTATTAACCGATTGAAATAAAACGAACACTAAATGTTAAGTGAAGCTCACCACCATACATTAGTGAAAACCGCACCCAAATCGGTAAAACCATTCTGAGATTAGCGCGCGCAAACGCACAGACAAACAGACAAAATTTCTAAAAATCATTGTTTTGGGTTCTATTGCGTTAATAAAGAACCCCGATAATAGTTTTTCTCAAATATCTTCCATGTACAGACAGCGATTATTTACACTTTTATTATATATAAGTATACTCGTACTTATCCAACAGACGTAGTATATTTTTTGGTACCGTTACCTTACATAATACAAACGATTTATTTTAATATTTGTAAGTCTATCTAAGCACGTGCTAGTGTTAGCTGAAATAAGAAAGTTTTGAATCTATGAGTAAGAGTGCTGAAGACTCAACCATTCATTTTCTTTTCCTTTTCTCCTAAAATCACCTTCTTTTTATCCCCCGACGCAAAAAGGGGTGTTATAAGTTTGAAGTCAATGTCTGTCTGTGTGTGTCTATCTGTTGCATCGTAGCTCTAAATCGGATGGTCCGATTTCGATGCGGTTTTCTTCATTTGAAAGCCAGTTTCCTTGCGGTGGTTCTTATCTATGTTTGGTTAATATCAAGATGTAAGGCATTTAGGCGTATGATTACTCGATTAGGTGCTTCACGCGTGCCAGCTTAATCGTTAAATGACAATTAATTTGCGTAGGGGGTTTTTAAATTTTTAATTTATAATTATATTGCAAGTGATAATATGGGACTAATTTTTGCTTCTAATCGATTAAGATCCAATCGATCTTACTTCTTTTTTTAATAAATAATTATCTATACATGTAATAAAATTGTTACTAAGCCGAACCTGTACATTAGATATTTTTTGGAAAATCTTATTGAAATAAACATTATTATTGATACAGAGGCCGAATCTATAGTTTTTATAATTTTTGTCTGTCTGTTCGACTGACTGTCTGTTACCGCATCACAGAAAAACCACTGGAGGGATTTTGATGAAATTTGGTATGGTGATAGCTGGTTATCCGGGTCAACATATAGGGTACTTTTTACCGCGAGAAAATATCTCACTTTTGAGAAAAAATACAAAACCTTCAATGTAAGAGTATACTAATATGTAAAACCTAAGAATTTGGTTTTTGGTCATCTGAACGCGGGTGGAGCCGCGGGCAATGCTAGTTTAGTAATAAATATGTAAACTATTGTGGCTATAATATGTTTTTAAGAATATAATAATTATACTAGCGACTCACCCTCGCTTCGCTCGGGTTTATCTCTAGGTACGTTTTAACGTTAGGTATACCCAATACCCATTACACCATACAAGATTTTTAATACTAATTGTTCTCAGTACATTAACTATTTTAAAAACTCAGATAAACGTTGTATTTAGCTCTTTTTAACGTTCTACTTCTGGGCGTAAGCCTCCCTTGACTACGAGGGGGATCAGGCCATAGTCTGCCACGCTGGCCAAGTGTAGGCGGACTTAACATGTCTTGCGAAAACTTGCTAAGCTCTCTCAGACATGCAGCTTTCCCTTCGCAAGTAAATAGTTGTCATATGTGAGTGAGTGACTCACACGTGAGATTATCAGAGGTATTAACCCGGGATTCAAACCCGTTTCACTCAATTTTATAAGCAAGCACATTACCATTGGGATACCATTGCCTTCTCTTTTGCATAGTTCCATATAAATGACAAAAAAAAATCGCTTATAAGGATGAAAGAAACTATATTTTAAATGATTAAGAGTGTTTTTTTTTAATTTAAAAGCATTTAAAGCCACTGAAAGTCATCCACATTCCACCAGAGACCTTACAAATCTCAAACAGCCAGAATTATTTTATTTTTATATATTTAAATTTATTTCTTTCTTTACAATTTGATGACACAAGTGTTTTTTTATTTGTTTTCATTACGTACATACTCGTATATCTACAGATTAATTTATGTATCTTTTGATAATTTTGTTTTATTATTATATAATACGAGTATACTAGCGACTGACTCTCGCTTCGCTCGAGTTCGTCCCTAGAAACGTTTTAAGGTTTAGTATAGATTTAACAGAGACGAGATATTTTCCCGCGGTAAAAAGTATCCTATATGTTGACCCGGATAACTTTTTTCAGAGAATTTCATCAAAATCTGTCAGTGGTTTACTCGTAATGCTTTCCAAGACAGACAAATAGACAAAAATTCAAAAAAACTATAGATTCGGCCTCTATATCGCTAATAATGTTTATTTCAATAAGATTTTCCAAAAAATATTTAATGAACAGATTCGACTTCGTTACAATTCTATTATATGTACCTATAGATATAGATTTTGTACTTTCTGTGATTTTTTTTCTATCTAAGTAAGTATAAAACCGAATCAAAGAGAGGATATATTAAAAAATTAGTTAATATAAAAGTTTCGGTATCGTCCAGCAGTCCTAGCAGGTCGGTAGGCTTGAAGCGAAGAGACCTGGTGGCGGTCAACGCTGATGGGCCTCCGAATATAAGTATACCATGTAGGTCGCCGCTAGTACTTCTTTAATCCTCTCCAACGTGCGTTCATCTAGTCGCGGTTGGGGGCTCATTAGCGTCCGGCAATCCAGCCGGGTGAGAAGCCAAGAAACGCTCTGGGAGCCAGCCCACCTCGGTGGACGGTGTGCCATGCGGGTTATTCCTGGTACTTATCTGATACCAGAGTGCACTGTTGAAGCAACTCCGTGGCTGTTGTGGTCTGCTTCTGCAGACCTGCCGTCGTGGCATCGTGGTTGAGTGCGTAAGCGATCCTGCGACGCCCCATTAAGACGGCGGAGGTTCTGTTGGGTTTTAGTGGGTAGTACTGGCTCTTCTAGCCAGTGACCTATGCAGGTGGTATGAGTTCCAATCATTTCCCAACGACAAAAAAAATGTATAAGCTATTTATTGATTTATATATGTAGATTGGAGATAGATCCACACAAACACACAAAAATTAATATTGACGTCCAATTTTGTCCCATAAATCGGAATTTCTAATATTGCAAAAAAAAATAAACGAATCAGAATTCTCTGAATAGCTTCAAATTACTCTGTGTAATTTATTCAAGTGTTTTACATATAAATTATATGACATAATTATTTACATAGAAATATATTTCTATACAAATACGAGTATAATAAATATTATATAGACTATTTTGAATATAATATGTTTTTATGAATATATAATACTTTCTTAGATTTACGCGAATATTTGACATCTATACATATAATAAAATTCTAACTAAGTCAAATCTGTACATTACATAGTTTTTGGGAAATCTATTTGAAAAAGACATTATTATCGATACAGAGTCCAAATCTATAGTTTTTAGATTTTTTGTCTGTCTGTCTGTCTGTCTGTTACCGCATCACGAGAAAACCACTGGACAGATTTCGATGAAATTTGGTATGATGATAGCTGGTTATCCGGGTCAACATATAAGCTAGTTTTTACCGCGGGAAAATATCTCATTTCTGAGAAAAAATACAAAGACACAAAAACTGCATTGTAAGAGTATACTTATATGTAAAACCTAAGAATTAGGTTTTTGGTCATCTGAACGCGGGCGGAGCCGCGGGCAATGCTAGTTATTATAATAAAATTGTAACTAAGTCGAATCTGTACATTAAATATTATTTTGAAAACTTTATTGAAATAGACATTATTATCGATACAGAGTCCGAATCTATAGTTTGTAGAATTTTTGTCTGTCTGTCTGTTACCGCATCACGAGAAAACCACTGGATAGATTTTGATGAAATTTGGTATGATGATAGCTGGATATCCGGGTCAAGATATAGGATACTTTTTACCGCGGGAAAATATCTCATTTCTGAGAAAAAATACAAAAACTGCATTGTAAGTATACTAATGTGTAAAACCTAAGAATTTTTTTTTTTGGTCATCTGAACGCGGGCGCAATTTTATTACAATATTTTTATTACAATTTTTTAAAAACTTTATTAATTACTAATATTATTTAGTATTGCTATTATTATATTATCTATAACCAAAATTATAGTGGGTAGGCACTGTCTGTAACAAGTACTATGTGTTTGAGACATCTATAACCTTAGTCTCTCCCGTGACCATGACTGCTGTAAAGCATTCGAAACGTCGGGAACCAAAAATCAAAATAAATCCGCGAAATAATCCGAAAAGATAGTTTTATGTTTTTAATGAATATAATAATTATACTAGCGACTCACCCTCGCTTCGCTCGGGTTCATCCCTAGGTACGTTTTAACGTTATACCCAATACCTATAACACGACGTTTGTAGTATGTACTAATCGTTCTCAGTACATGAACTATTTTAAAAAGACTTAGAAAAACTCAGATATAAGTTGCATTTAGTCGTTTTTAATGAGCTGGGCGTATGACTATTTTCAATACAAGAGGGATCAGGCCATAGTCCACCACGCAGGCCAAGTGCGGGCGGACTGAGCATGTCTGCAGACAACTCGCTGGGTTCTCTCAGACATGCTAGTTTCCTCGTGATGTTTTAGTTCAATCTATACATATAAATAAAATTGATATGTCTGTGTGTAATGTCAGAATAATACCTTCTTACTAAATGCATATAAAAGTTTATACGGTAAGTACTTATAAGAAAAAACCATTTTTTAATTTCTCCTGCCTGTTTGTTCCGGCTAATCTCCGAAGTGGCTGGACCGATTTTGACTGGATTTTTACTGGCAGATAGCTGATATTATACGAAGTAACTTAGGCTATTTTTATTAAAGATAAAAAATAGGGTTCCGCGAACAAAAATTAAAACCCATGAAATTGTTAACTATGAAATTTCATAAAAATGAAATTGTTAGTCGCTTGTTTAAAAGATATTGAAATCATTGAAAAAGTAAATAGAGTACTTCTTTTTTGAAATCGGTCAAAAATAAATTTTAAAGCAATTATTATAAAAGAAAGTCAATAAAGCCTCTTAATAAATATTCATTCGACGTTATTTGCTTTGAAGCCAGCTGTTAGCAAATAAAATGTTGTGTTATATAAGTTATTCACCAAAGACAAGATACAATCATTTCTGTAACAGACTTACGTTCATATAAAAAAATATAAATATCTGTTGGTTGAAAACAGCAAATTTGTGAAATTTGGACATCTATACCCATACTAATGTTATAAATGTGAAAGTTTTTTGTTTATTTGTTTGTTCTTCTTTCACGTCGAAGCGGAGTGACGTATTGGCCTGATTTTTTGTGTGGAGATTGTTAGAGGGTTGGAGCAAATTATAAGAGTACCCGAGTAACGAGGCGTTGATAGTATCTTAGAACTTTTTTCTTATTTACGTACTAGCGACTTAACCTCGCTTTGCTTAGCTTCCGGAGGTGCCTAATTAGCCTATATATTACTCTACATCATAATCTATCTGTCCACTAAATTTTATCAAAATCCGTCCAGCCGTTTCAGCGTTAAGGAGTAAAAAATACACACATAAAAACTTTTGCATTAAAATAGTAATGTGATTTTTTAAATAAAGAAAGTATTAAGTAATGTAATTTTTAACATAAGTAAAACATAATACTTTCTTAGATTTACGCGAATATTTGACACTATCAGTACCCGCGGGTTCGTCCGCGTTCAAACTTCCGATATGATGTTGATGTCGGAAGTTTGAATATTTATAATAATGTATGGAAGTCTGCCCGATTTGTTAACATTTATGATTACTGCTCCGCTCCCCTGGGTAGTGGCATGGTGATATACAGCCTATAGCCTTCCTCAAAAAACGGGCTATCTAATGCAAAAAGAATTTTTTAAATCGGATTAGTAGTTCCTGAGATTAGCGCATTCAAACAAACAAACAAACTGTCTTTTTATAATATTAGTAAAGATTTTAAATGAAACAATCTTTTTGGCCTTTTCGCGGATTTATTTTCCTTTTCCTTCTCTGTTTGTCGACCAATTTTTTTTTTTGTTTAGTTGCTATAATTGAAGAACTTCAGTGTTATTTTTTTAACAGTACTTTTTTAAAGTATGATTATATAGATAAGTTATTATTCCTATCCAAATCAAGTACTGCGAATTAGAAGTTAAACTAAAATATTCAAAATGTAGTAGTAGTAGTCATAATATATTTTTGTGCCTTTTAATTTAAGATACATCAAACGATGAGAAGCCGAAAATCAAAATATCTTCAAAATATCTTTATTGTATAATAGCAACTCACTCTCGCTCCGCTCGGGTTCGTCGTCTCTAGTTGCTTTTTAACGTTTAATAGAGATTTCTCAGAGATGAGTTATTTTCCCGCAGTAAAAAGTATCCTATATGTTGACCCGGATGACCAGCTATGGTCATACCAAATTTCATCAAAATCTGTCTAGTTTTCTTCTTGTGATGCGTTACCAGACAAACAGACAGACAAACAAAAATACTAAAAACTATAGATTTTCCAAAAAATATTTAATGTACAGATTCGGCTTAGTTACAATTTTATTATATGTATAGATAAAAAACAATAACTATACCTTCATAGAACTTAATTTTTATATTAAATTAATTAAAATATTCTACAGCGTCCAAGCGCGTACTTTACTATACATTTATCTGTCTGCGAGCTATTATTCTCTGCACGCACACATACAAAATACTTGTGTACATAAACAATACATGCATAAATACATCGTAAAAAACAGGAGACAAAAGTGACACAGCCCTCCCGTCTGAGCGCCAGCGCGCGACTGCCGCGCGCGCCCGCGCAGAGCACCTCTATAGCTTCTAGGCTTGTAAATAGCATTTTCGACTTTTAAAATAGGAAAATAGTAATTGATTTACAATTTTTTTTAATGGGCATAAAGTAAAATAGATATATTATTTTTTAGTATTTTCAATGATTCCAAAATTCTTAGCCGTTTAGAAATAGTATGAAAGGCAAGTCAAAATAATACCATTTCTTTGAAATAAAAAAGTAATAGATATTTTCGCCCCACGAAAAAAATGTTCTAATGAAAATATTGTTTAAGAGTTGATGATTCACATATATTTTTTTCAAGCATTTAGGTCAAGCCATAAACGAGAAGTACGCTTTAGAAAGTAGCTCTTTGCTAGCCCTTGAGGGTACTAATCGCCTTAAGTTATGATTGAAGTTAGACCACTAAAGCTATAAGTTTAAGCATTAAGAAAAAATATGTATATTGTTTAATTATTTTACGTAAAAATTTTGTTAAAACTTTTTCTATAGATATATATATTATACCCAATTATATATTATTTGTATATGTTCATTTGTAAATAGCTATAATTTGTATCATTTATAGTTGTTTATTTGAAAATATTTAGGTATATTTTACATTATTTATAGTTTTATTGTATAAATATTTAGGCATATTTTTATTATTTGTAGTTTTCTGTATTTAGGTACCTATATATTATATCTTTATAGTTGTTTATTTGTAAAAATTTAGGTATGTACTCGTATATGTAATTTAGCAAACTAGTTTAGTACTAGTAGTTTTATTAATTCAATTAATTTCTCAGTTTCTTTGTAATTTGTATTTTGTAACCAGTCTACCAAGATCTTCTTACATTGATATTTATTTTTTGAATAGATATTTAAAATTTGATTGATTTTATTGTATAGCATAGGACCCAGAAAGCACTGATATTTATTAATAAAAGCAGTATTGAACTTCCTCGTAGCACAAACCCTGTTTTGACATCTATTTGCATTGTTATAATTATATGGTGATTTCTCATGTTGAGATAAATATAAAGATATAAAGCTAATATCAAATGACAATAATGTAATAAGTTCCTATATTAAAGCGTGAAAGCGTCCATACTTTTATTAATAATCATATTAATAATATAAAATTCTATTTTTCAGCTTACGGGTCTATTGGCGGTAAGTTTAGTAATTACTAAGTATTATTAATAACCGAAACAGGTTTTGTAGCCGAAACCGAAACTTATTTAGACATAACACCTAAAATTTCTATTTATGCTAAAATGTGATGTATGTATATTTTAAATATTATATAGTTAACAACTATGTAGCGACTAATATAACCCTCAAAACACGGCTCACAAATACACAAACACACACACATACCTGAACGAAGCGTGAAAATGTGCGTACGTACGTAGACTGAAATCGAAACTGAAACTATTGCCGAACCGAGATTTTTTGACCAAAACCGAAACGGAAACCGAATTATTAGTATTATATAGTATTGAATTATTAGTAGAAATTAGTGTGTATTTTTTGTCATTTTATAGGATGTGATGGATGTGGTGGAAGAAATGATGCTAGTAATGCTGTTATAGCAGAATCATCAGCAGCAGCAGGAGCTGGAGGATATTTAGGATCTACAAGAGCAGTCGGACCAAGAGGTTCTGATGCAGGTGAGGTGCAGGCTCAGGACGTGGTGATATTATCGTCATAGGATTTAATCGCTTAATGTAGATAATTTTTTACTATTCTCATTTATTTTGTCAGATTTTTTGTAAACTTCAATAAAGCAATGTAATTTTTTTTTGTTTTTTTTTCTAATAAAACCTTTTTTGTTGTAATCAAATCATTTACCAAATGAATTCCTGTCAAGCGGGAATTATAAAAATAGTTTTTTCTTTTATTCTGATTTACACAGAACATACCTAGTCATAATTCTAAGAACTGATCTGATAACGCACAGAAAGCAAAGTAAAACACATTTGATATACATTTGATGAAGAATATTTTTTTTGCTATTTCTAAATAACAAAAAAAATGTTCTTATTTAAAGATTATTCTTATCTTCCATATCAGATTTTTCTTACATCTTTCTAAATAAATAAATTTTATTTGGTGCTAGAGACTTACGTATGTTTTATTGAAGTAAAACTTGTTTAATCGCGACTAGGGGATAAGTCAAATACATTGGAGAAATGAGTGTCGTGGAAGTGAGGGTCAAATTTATTATCTACTAGCAGCTCACCCTCGCTTCGCTCGGGTTCACCTCTATGAAAACAATAAAAAACCTATATAAAAACAGCCTGTGTTATTCCAGACTATATCTATCTCTGTGCTAAAATTTCATACAGATCCGTTCAGCGTTCTGAAGTGAAAGAGTAACAAACATTCATACTCACAAACTTTCACATAATATTCGTATAGATACTAATATTATAAAGAGAAAAGATTTGTTTCTTTGTACCGAGTAGGCTCCGAAACTACTGAACCGATTTAGATTAAATTTGGTAAGAAGATACTTTGAGAACCTAGGAAGAACATAGTATAGTTTTGATACTAACGTCTACTTGCTGTATGTGTGAGTATGATGCGATGCGCTATGCTCCCAGGCATTCATATTATGTGTGATGAACATGAACAATTGTACTCCAGTCATTGGTGTTTATATATTTATAGTGTATCAACTATCGAACTTTAATGTTATCGATAAAAAAAATGAAGTTACTTTTTTCCTGCCTTTACAAGAAAAAATGTTAATAACAAAACAAAAGAGAAAAAGCAAAATGATCGAATGTAAAAGAATGAAAAAAAATATTGTCTTCCTCAAATTGTTCTCAGTACATTAAGTATTTTAAAAACTCAGGTAAACGTTTGATTCAGCTCTTTTCATCGTCCTACTGCTAGGGGTAGGCCTACCTTGAATACGAGGGGGATCAGGCCATAGTCTGCCACGCTGGACAAGTGCGGAAGGACTTAACATATCTTGCGAAAACATGCTAAGTTCTTTCAGACATGCTGGTTTCCTTTCACCGTAAGGCAAATAGTTGTCATATTGAGTGACTCACACGTGAGATTATCAGAGGTACCCGGGATTCAAACCCGTTTCACTCAGTTTTACAAGCGCATTATCACTAGGATACCATTGCCTTCTCTCTTGGGTAATCCCATATAAATGTCAAAAAAAAATTGCTTATAAGCCACTGAAAGACATTCACATTCCACCAGAGACCTTCCAAATCTCAAACAGCCAGAATTATTTTTGGCACAAATTTAGAATTGGGGACTTGGCCCCTAGCGGAGTGGGTGATATTTCTGGATAAGGGACGTGATAGGGAGTCGAAATGTTAAATAAAAATTGTCCGCGAACGTATGAGTAAAAAGTTATTGAGACTTAAAGTTACAACATTTCCATACATTTTCATATATTTCTTTTCCACCATTCGGAGTGGGTGGTATTTTTAGATAGGGGAGGTGACAGAGATTCAAAATATATTAAAAATATTTGGAGGAAACGTACGAGTAAAAAGTTATTGAGACTTAAAGTTATAACATATCTAACACATTTCCATACATTTCTTTACCTAAATAAGTGATTACAACAGATAAACATACCTTTAACGAATAGTACGCATCCTTTTTTATGTACAAGACATATTTTCACAACAATTAATGCTTTATTGTATTTAATATTTTAATAATTTCACAACACAAACAAAATGATCTTACATTTTGACAAAAGCAAAACTGACACTTTGTTTTATATTACCGCTTAAATGACAACAGGTTATATTTGATTATTTTTGCTTTTTCTGTTGGTAATATTAATAAATAAATAAATAAAAAGAAAGATATTATTTTCACTTTATAAATACATTTATGACTTTTTATTTGATTTATGTAAAATATATTGTTTTACAATTGTACATTTAGTAAAAAAAATCATTTTTTTATCTGTGAATATTTTTAATTATTTATTTATTATTCGTCATATCTGGGTTAGGTTAGGTTAGAACATTTAAGATTATTTATTTATTATTCCTCATATCTGGGTTAGGTTAGGTTAGAACATTTAAGATTATTTATTTATTATTCTTCATATCTTGGTTAGGTTGTGGGTAGTACCGGCTCTTCTAGCCGGTGAGCCCCACATCACCACCTGGGGGATCAGGTGGTATGCGTAAATGCATTTCCCGACGATCAAAAAAAAAAAAAAGGTTAGAACAGTTGCCACAACGCACGAGCCGAGCGAGCGAAGCGAGCGTGCCGCGGTTGCGGCCGGCGAGTGCCATAAATGACTAGAAAACTAGAAAATTCGAATTTCACGTAAAGTACAAATAAAGACAATCATCTGGAGATCATTTTGACAATTGAAAGTGACGTTTTGACTCCAAGTGTCTAAATGGTAGTAATGTCAAAATAATGTATGGAAATGTTGTAACTTTAAGTCTCAATAACTTTTTACTCATACGTTCGCGGACAATTTTTATTTAACATTTCGACTCCCTATCACGTCCCTTATCCAGAAATACCACCCACTCCGCTAGGGGCCAAGTCCCCAATGCTAAACTGCAGCCTTATTTTTATATTATTAAATAAAACTATCTTTTCGGATTATTTCGCGGATTTATTTTCATTTTTGGTTCCCGACGTTTCGAATGCTTTACAGCATCCATGGTCACGGGAGAGACTGAGGTGTTACATGTCTTGAATGTATAGTTGTTACAGACAGCCTACCCACAATTAACAAAATGAAAAATGCACCAATTACATCACAATATTTTTAACTTTAAAACATTTTTATAATTTTAATTATAATTGAATATGGAAAATTATTTATTTAATTTTTGCTATTATTTTTATAATTATTACAATTTTAAAATATTAATTAGTAATCTATATTTAGTGTTGCCATTATTATATTTATAACCATTAAGAAAAATATAAAATATAGTATTAATTATTTAAGCCATATAATTGTTCTATGTGTAATTTAAAAAAGTTAAAATTAATTAAGGATAATAATTTTAATTTAGTTTGCTATTATTTAAAAACAACTTACTAAGCAACACTATTAATATATACTTTTACAAATGAAAAATGAAAAATATTAATCTGATAAGCTGTCATTTTGATCTACACAGTATGAACTTACTACATCTGCCTGTCTGTTTTGTTTATATTTATTATTTGATTTTATTATATTAATAACAGGATCCCATGACGATGGTAGTACCCAGTCATCTTCCCTATTGAAATTTGGATGTTTTTTAATTTCTATGGCTTCTCGAATCATTCTAGGGCGATATCGGTTTTCTTTCGCCAGGATTAGAGGTCTGAGATGCTGTAAAGCATTTGAAACGTCGGGAACCAAAAATCAAAATAAATCCGCGAAATAATCCGAAAAGACAGTTTTATTTAATAATGTCAAATATTCGCGTAAATCTAAGAAAGTATTATTTTTATATATTTAAATTCATATCTTTCTTTACAATTTGATGACACAAGTGTTTTTTTATTTGTTTTCATTACGTACATACTCGTATATCTACAGATTAATTTATGTATCTTTTGATAATTTTGTTTTATTATTATATAATACGAGTATACTAGCGACTGACTCTCGCTTCGCTCGAGTTCGTCCCTAGAAACGTTTTAAGGTTTAGTATAGATTTAACAGAGACGAGATATTTTCCCGCTGTAAAAAGTATCCTATATGTTGACCCGGATAAACTTTTTCAGAGAATTTCATCAAAATCTGTCAGTGGTTTACTCGTAATGCTTTCCAAGACAGACAGATAGACAAAAATTAAAAAAAAAACTATAGATTCGGCCTCTATATCGCTAATAATGTTTATTTCAAGAAGATTTTCCAAAAAATATTTAATGAACAGATTCGACATCGTTACAATTTTATTATATGTACCTATAGATATAGATTTTGTACTTTCTGTGATTTTTTTTCTATCTAAGTATAAACCCGAATCAAAGAGAGGATATATTAAAAAATTAGTTAATATAAAAGTTTCGGTATCGTCCAGCAGTCCTAGCAGGTCAGTAGGCTTGAAGCGAAGAGACCTGGTGGCGGCCAACGCTGATGGGCCTCCGAATATAAGTATACCATGTAGGTCGCCGCTAGTACTTCTTTAATCCTCTCCAACGTGCGTTCATCTAGTCGCGGTTGGGGGCTCATTAGCGTCCGGCAATCCAGCCGGGTGAGAAGCCAAGAAACGCTCTGGGAGCCAGCCCACCTCGGTGGACGGTGTGCCATGCGGGTTATTCCTGGTACTTATCTGATACCAGAGTGCACTGTTGAAGCAACTCCGTGGCTGTTGTGGTCTGCTTCTGCAGACCTGCCGTCGGGGCATCGTGGTTGAGTGCGTAAGCGATCCTGCGACGCCCCATTAAGACGGCGGAGGTTCTGTTGGGTTTTAGTGGGTAGTACTGGCTCTTCTAGCCAGTGACCTATGCAGGTGGTATGAGTTCCAATCATTTCCCAACGACAAAAAAAATGTATAAGCTATTTATTGATTTATATATGTAGATTGGAGATAGATCCACACAAACACACAAAAATTAATATTGACGTCCAATTTTGTCCCATAAATCGGAATTTCTAATATTGCAAAAAAAAATAAACGAATCAGAATTCTCTGAATAGCTTCAAATTACTCTGTGTAATTTATTCAAGTGTTTTACATATAAATTATATGACATAATTATTTACATAGAAATATATTTCTATACAAATACGAGTATAATAAATATTATATAGACTATTTTGAATATAATATGTTTTTATGAATATATAATACTTTCTTATATTTACGCAAATATTTGACATTTTAAATAAAACTGTCTTTTCGGATTATTTCGCGGATTTATTTTGATTTTTGTTTCCCGACGTTTCGAATGCTTTACAGCAATCATGGTCACGGGGGAGACTAAGGTTATAGACGTCTCAGACACATACATGTTACAGACAGTGCCTACCCACTATAATTTTGGTTATAGATAATATAATAATAGGAACACTAAATAATATTAGTAATTAATAAAGTTTTTTAAAAATTGTAATATTTATAATAATAACAGCAACAATTAAATAAATAATATTGCTATATTTAATTATAATATTTATTAAAAAAAATGTTTAGAAATTAAAATCAACAAATATTGTAAGGTACTTTATTGCCATTTTTTGAATTTTTGAAATCATTTTTACAAAATAGTGGGTAGGCACTGTGCATTCGAAACGTCAGGAACCAAAAATCAAAATAAATCCGCGAAATAATCCGAAAAGATAGTTTTATGTTTTTATTGAATATAATAATTATACTAGCGACTCACCCTCGCTTCGCTCGGGTTCATCTCTAGGTACGTTTTAACGTTAGGTATACCCAATACCTATTACACCATACAAAACTACCTATAACACGACATTTGTAGTATGTACTAATCGTTCTCAGTACATGAACTATTTAAAAAAACTCAGATATAAGTTGCATTTAGTCGTTTTTAATGAGCAGGGCGTGGGACTTTTTTCAATACAAGAGGGATTAGGCCATAGCCCACCACGCAGGCCAAGAGCAGCGGACTGAGCATGTCTGCAGACAACTCGCTAGGTTCTCTCAGACATGCTAGTTTCCTCGCGATGTTTTAGTTCAATCTATATATATAAATAAAATTGATGTTTCTGTGTGTAATGTCAAAATAATAGCTGTAAGAACAACATGCACATAAAAGTTTGTACGGTAGGTACTTATAAGAAAAAAACATTTTTTTAATATCTGTCTGCCTGTTTGTTCCGTTTTATCTCCGAAATGGCTGGACCGATTTTGACTGGATTTTTACTGGCGGATAGCTGATATTATAAGGAGTAACTTAGGCTATTTTTATTTAAGATAAAAAATAGGGTTCCGCGAACAAAAATTAAAACCCATGAAATTGTTAACTATGAAATTTCATAAAAATGAAATTGTTAGTCGCTTGTTTAAAAGATATTGAAATTATTGAAGAAGACAATATACAAGTAAATTGAGTACTTCTTTTTTGAAATCGGTCAAAAATAAATTTTAAAGCAATTATTATAAAAGAAAGTCAATAAAGCCTCTTAATAAATATTCATTCGACGTTATTTGCTTTGAAGCCAGCTGTTAGCAAATAAAATGTTGTGTTGTATAAGTTATTGACCAAAGACAAGATACAATAATTTCAGTAACAGACTTACGTTCATATAAAAAAATATAAATGTCTGTTGGTTGAAAACAGCAAATTTGTGAAATTTGGACATCCATACCCATACTAATGTTATAAATGTAAAAGTTTTTTTGTTTGTTTGTTTGTTTATTTGTTTGTTTGTTCTTCTTTCACGTCGAAACGGAGTGACGTATTGGCCTGATTTTTGTGTGGAGGTTGTTGTAGGGTTGGAGCAAATTTCCCCCCTAACGTGCGTTCACCTTGTCGTGGTGGGGGGGCTCAGTAGTAGTAACGAAGCTAAGAAACGCACAGGGAGGTGGCCCTCTTCGGGGGGCGGTGTACCTTGCGGGTTGCTCCTGGTACTTCTCTGATAGCAGAGTGGACCTTGGAGCAACCCCATGGTTGTGGTGGTCTGCTTTGGCAGACCTGCCGTCGGGGCGTCGTAGTTGAATGCGTAAGCGATCCTGCGACGCCCCATTAAGACGGGGGAAGGTTTTGTTGGGTTTTAGCGGGTAGTACTGGCTGTATTACGCCGGTGAGTCCCACACGTCGTGCGTAAATGCATTTCCCAACGTTAAAAAAAAAAAAGGGTTGGAGCAAATTATAAGAGTACGAGTAACGAGGCGTTGATAATATCTTAGAACTTTTTTTCTTATTTACGTACTAGCGACTTAACCTCGCTATGCTTAGCTTCCGGAGGTGCCTATTTAGCCTATATATTACTCTACATCATAATCTATCTGTCCACTAAATTTTATCAAAATCAGTTTCAGCGTTAAGGAGTAAAAAATACACACAAACACACATAAAAACTTTTGCATTAAAATAGTAATGTGATTTTTTAAATAAATAAAGTATTAAGTAATGTAAAATATAATACTTTCTTAGATTTACGCGAATATTTGACACTATCGGTACCCGCGGGTTCGTCCGCGTTCAAACTGCCGATATGATGTTTATGTCGGAAGTTCGAACATTTATAATAATGTATGGAAGTCTGCCCGATTTGTAAACATTTATGATTACTGCTCCGCTCCCCTGGGTTGTGGCATGGTGATATATAGCCTATAGCCTTCCTCAATAAACGGGCTATCTAATGCAATTTTTTTTTTTAAATCGGATTAGTAGTTCCTGAGATTAGCGCGTTCAAACAAACAAACAAACAAGCAAACTCTGTCTCTTTATAATATTAGTATAGATTTTAAATGAAACAATCTTTTTGGCTTTTTGGCGGATTTTTTTTTGATTTTTATTTCCCGACGCGACGTTTCGAATGCTTAGTATATAGTTTTATAGCGAGATGGTTTTATTTATAAGTAAAACAGCTGTATGACACATGTTTATAGAATCAATTGCATTTACTATGCAGTTCTTTGTTCATTATTTGTTTTTTCAAGTATAAATACTGTTATTTTTTGAAGCACATTACAGTAACTACAACAAGAGTGCAAGATGAAGTACTTAGCTATAATCCTGTCTTTGGTAAGAAATATAGTTAGCTTGAAAAAAAAATTGAAGTATCTACGACTTAAAACGCTTAAGACCCTTCAAATCTATATATGTTACGGGCCAAAGTCGATTTCAGGCCGAACTAGATTATTCTTTTTTTTTATGTTGGGAAATGCATTTACGCAACCACCTGTGGTATTATATTATACCACAGGTGGTATACGTAGATGATACAGGTGGTTATGTGGCCATCTAGAAAAACTAGTACTACCCACTAAAACCCAACAAAACCTCTTCCATCTTATTGGGGCGTCGCAGGATCGCTTACGCACGCAACCACAACGCCCGGACGGCAGGTCTTCCAAAGCAGACCACAACAACCATGGGGTTGCTCCACAGTCCACTCTGCTATCAGAGAAGTACCCGTACCCCTAGGAGCAACCCATATGGTACACCACCCACCAAAGTGGGACACCTCTTGGTGCGTTTTTTGGTTCCATCATCCATCATGAGCTCTTCCATCGCGACAAAGTGAGAAGAGAGGGGGGATGGGGGTGGGGACTAGTTTGTCGTAGGCCAAGCCGACACATCCTTAGGATATACAAGCTTAGCCCCGGAACTACTTAATTCGGCCTAAATACTTTAGGCTAAACTATTTAGACTTACTTTGACGTTTAGCTTCGGGTTAGGCAGATAACATATATATATAACATATATATATATATATATATATATATATAGCGTGCCGCGGTAGCGGCCGGCGAGTGCCATAAATGACTAGAAAACTAGAAAATTCGAATTTTACGCAAAGTACAAATAAAGACAATTATCTGGAGATCATTTTGACAATTGAAAGTGACGTTTTGACATTTCCAAGTGTCTAAATGGTAGTAATGTCAAAATAATGTATGGAAATGTTGTAACTTTAAGTCTCAATAACTTTTGACTCTTTTGTTTCCTCAAAATATTTTTTATATATTTGGACTCCCTATTAGCTGCCCTATCCAAAAATACCACCCACTCTGCCAGGGGCCGCGTCCCCAATACTAATCTGCAGCCATATATAATATTCGTATACATATATATTAATACATATTATAAAGAGACAAGATTTGTTTGTTGGTTGTACCGAATAGGCTCCGAAACAATTGAACCGATTTCATAGGATAGTTTTTATCTCGGATATCATCCCTTAACGGGGTGAAAATGGGGATGAAGGTTTGTATGGGGAACTTACCTAGGGACGAACCCGAGCGTAACGAGGGTGAGTCGCTAGTCCATATATAAATAGGCACAAAGAAAACAGTCCAGTATCTTTTTCTTCTCTGTTTGTCAACCGATTTATTTAAACTAATTTTGATTTAATTTTTTTTAAATAGTTTTTTCTTTCAATTAATTAGTGCAATTTCAGCATCTTTGACAAAAACGATGACACAAGCATGGCATGTGACAGCCATTTCAAACGCGAGAACATTACAAACTTTAAGCCGCTTAAAACTTAAAAAATATATTAAAAAAACATTTTTTTTACATACCTACCTATTTAAAACATTTCTAAACATTAATTGAATTAAAATTAAAAACAATACATTCATTTATATCTATTGTAATAATATTTTGGCAAATATGTATTTTAAAATAAATTTTTAGTTTGAACAGCTTTGATTAATTTGCGTAAATTCCACTCGACGTTAGTATAAAAGCACACACATTTCAATATTCGTTACTTCTATTGCTACTGCTACTACTGATTATCAACATGAAGGTTCTATTCCTAGCTTCTTTAGCACTTGTGGTGAGTACTTTTGATATTCTCTTACAATTATACCATATGACCTTTGACACGTCTATAACCTTAGTCTCCCCCGTGACCATGATTGATGTAAAGCATTCGAAACGTCGGGAACCAAACATCAAAATAAATCCGCGAAATAATCCGAAAAGATAGATTTATTTAAAACTAGCGACTCACCCTCGCTCCACTCGGGTTCCGTTTTACGTTAATCCTAGTTACGTATTAACGTTCAGTATAGATTTCTTAGAATTGTGATATTTTCCCGCAGTAATAAGTATCCTATATGTCGACCCAGATAACATAATTATATATATATTAACTTTTGTAAGGGACTGAAAATAGGGTACCACATAAAACTGTTCGACGAATATGCAAATGTGTTACCTACCTGAACTTTTTTTTAATTTTCACTAAAATTTACATATCACTAGTTTTCACCCGTTTTGAATTTCACTTATAATAAAATTCAGCCGTTATAAAGACGAAGCGACAAACATACACATTCACAACCTTTCATAATACTAGTTTAATGTAATTTATTTATGTTTTCTTGTTTTCACAGTGTTTGATGGCCGTCCAAGCCAGACCAGGTGAGTTATAGAAAATATAATAATTTTATATTGATAATATCTACTAAAGATTTGCTTCGCTGTGATACTTCCATAGCCTTTTATCTTAGTCAATTTTTTTTTTTTTAACGTTGGGAAATGCATTTACGCACGACGTGTGGGACTCACCGGCGTAATACAGCCAGTACTACCCACTAAAACCCAACAAAACCTTCCCCCGTTTTAATGGGGCGTCGCAGGATCGCTTACGCATTCAACTACGACGCCCCGACGGCAGGTCTGCCGAAGCATACCACCACAACCATGGGGTTGCTCCAAGGTCCACTCTGCTATCAGAGAAGTACCAGGAGCAACCCGCATGGTACACCGCCCCCCGAAGAGGGCCACCACCCACCGCCCACCGAAGTGGGCAACCTCCCTGTGCGTTTCTTAGCTTCGCGCCCGGTTGGATTGCCGGACACTACTGAGCCCCCCCACCACGACAAGGTGAACGCACGTTGGGGGGGAATCTTAGTCAATGCTGTAACCTAACCTAACCTAGAAAGAAAGAAAGAAAGAGTTCTTCCGAGTAACCTTCAACCTTTTTAAGAGTTTTGACCGATATCACTAGTGCCGGATTCAGTCTTAGCACCGCCCGTGGACACAGTAAAAAACTGCTATTGACCAAGGCCTGCAGTCCAAACTACTTTTGACCAACCTCTTTGATTAAAGAGGTTGGTCAAAAGTAGTTTGCACTGCTTTGATTAAAAGTAGTTTTGACTAAAAAATAGTTTTGACTGTAACATAGACATTCTTTCCGTCTTAATTATTGATTTATTTTAATTTAATTGCGATATTTGCCAAAGAAGTTTTACTTCAACTGCGCGTAAAGGTTACATGCACCCTTTTTTAACTAATAATTAATTTTTTTAAATAATAATAAAACAGTGTATAAATTTTTTTATCCAAACCCGTTCAGCCGTTTCAGACTGAAGGCTATTCAAACATATGTCACATTTATAATAATAGTATGATAAAATATTATATTAGATTATTATTTAGAGGCAGCGGTAGCCCAGTGGTAACACGCTCGCTTGGGAAACCGAGTGAAGCGGGCTCAAATCCCGGGTCTCGCTCCTTTGATATTTTCATGTGCAAATCATTTTCCAATATGATCGCCACTTGTCTTAACGGTGAAGGAAAACATCGTGAGGAAATCTGCATGTCTGAGAGAACCTATCAAGTTTTTAAAAGTCATGTGAATTCCGCCAATCCGCACTTGGCCAGCGTGATGGACTATGACCTGATCCCCCTCGTATTAAAGGAAGGCCCGTGCCTAGCAGTAGGACGTTAAAAAGGGCTAGATACAAAATATTATATGCTATCTCAAGTCGACAAAAACAACATTTAGCATCGTTTAAAACACTCCTGTACTGTATGTAGACCAGTAACAAAAACTCAAAATAAAACCACGATCAATCCGAACAGACAGTTTCATTAAAAAATACATTTTGAAATTATACATTCAGGTCTTGATAATGATGGTGGTGGTGAGGCAGCTGCTGCCGCTGCTGCTGCTGGTGCTGCTGGTGGTGATGGTGCTGCAGCCGCTGCTGCCGCTGCTGCCTCTGGGGGTGGTGGTGCTGGCTCAGGTGCTGGTACAGGTACTGGGGGAAATGATGCAGGCAATCGTGGCTCCGACCCAACCGCTGCCATCGGAGAGGGTAAAAGTGTTGCCACTAACATAGGAAACGGACTCGTTAACAAAGGTTTAGCCTTTGAAGCTGGACTCGAAGTCGGTATATCAAAAAAAATTATTTAAAATAAATACTATTATTTACGCTATATTTCTTTTTTTTACCCTTTAAAGACTGATCAAGACGAAACAATTTTACCACTCTCAGTTTTTTGTGTGTGAACTGTGAAGTAAAAACTTCTTTAGGCACGTTGGGCACTTTTGAGATGGGGAAAAAGCACAGAACTCTTGGACTGTCACGCTCAAGAGCATACATGGGAGTACCCAGGTGGGGGGAGGGGGGGAGGTAGCAGCTCCCTCCTATATCGTGTATGCCTATGTACCTACTGTTGCTGATAAAGTTATGTTTAAGTCAGGTTACGAGTGTTACGAATTACTTTACAATATATTATGTGTTAACTTAAAAAAAAAATTGCGCTGCACGCCCGGTCCACTTATGTTAATGCAACACGCTAGAGCAGCAAGCGAGCGGCGAGCTCCACGCTCGCCAGCCACTCGCTGCCGCGCCAACGACTTACGAAGATTATCGAATCTACTCTAGTGCTTGTGTACTCGCCTGCGAGCTCGTATTTGACATGTTTGTTTTAAAAGAGCCAAACGTGGATGACGAAAAATATTTATTCAATGTCCATATCTATACATATTATAAATTGTAACTAATCGCTGTCTGTACATGGGAGATATTTAAGAAAGAATATTATAGGGGGTTTTTATTAACTCGATAGAATCCAAAATAATGATTTTTAGAATTTTTGTCTGTGTGTCTGTGCGTTTGTGCGCGTTAATCTCAGAAACAGATTACCCGATTTGGGTGCGATTTTCACTGAACACTTAATGTTAAGTATTTGTTTTATTTCAATCGGTTCATAAATTAAAAAAAGTTATGTCAATTTAATAAAAAAACACAAGAAACATTTATTAGAAGAAAGTATGCGTGTGTACGCACGTAAGAAGTTGTACTTCTTTGTTTTTAGAGCATTTAAATAAAACTTGTTTCTTTTTAATGTTTAACCTTTTCTTAATGTTCATTACTAACTAATATTATATACTCTGGGGTCCAAATACCTTACTGCGATAAAGTATGGAACTTGGGTCTTATCTTAGACTGCCACATACTCTTACATTGCAGTTTTTGTATTTTTTCTCAGAAATGAGGCATTTTCCCGCGGTAAAAAGTATCCTATATGTTGACCCGGATAACCAGCTGTCACCATACCAAATTTCATCAAAATCCCTCCAGTGATTTTTCTGTGATGCGGTAACAGATAGACTATTGGATGTAATGTAAATATATGATTCTAAAGTGTTTGAAAAAGTTTATTAAGATATATATTCTTAAAACTATAATATTTTGATTTGACTTGATTAAATACATCTTAAATACCAAAATATATGTATAAGATGGACTCTAAATAAATTACTCAAAAACAAACAGAGGTTGTATTCAGCTCTTTTAACGTCCCACTGCTGGGAGTGGGCCTCCCATCAATACGAGGAGGATCAGGCCATAGTCCAGCTCGATCGCCCAGTTTCCAGTAATCGTCAAGATAAACAATTTAATCTTTTACGTAGTTGTTGTAGTAACAATTTATTAGGCTTATTTGATATTTATTATAATATACCTCTGAAGAAATATTATTTGTAAGAATCCAATATCACTTTAGAATCTCCATAAACACAAATAAATCTAAATATAAACACAATTCTTAATTAAACAATTTAAACCCCAACGCAATAACCTATTCATTGAGGCCATTTCATTTCAATCAGAAAACTTCAAATAAAAAATTTCATTTCAATTCAAAAAAATCAATTTCATAAAAAAATTTATTGCGCGTAACCTGCGTTGTAGAATATATTAATCTATACTTCTATACTAATATTGTAAAGAGGTAGGTAAAGTTTGTGAGGTTGTGAGTTTGTGACGTTGTAGGGGGTAATCTCTGGATCTACTGAAAAGATTTATATGAAATTTTGGTAAGAAGATAGTTTGAGACTCTGGAAAGGACATAGTACACTTTTTATCCCGGAAATCATACCTTAAGGCGGTAAAAATGGGGATTTAAGATTGTGTTGGGAAGCAATATATTATATACCAGCTATCACTACACCAAATTTTATCAAAATCCCTCCAGTGGTTTTTCTGTGAAGCGGGAACAGACAGACAGACAAAAATTCTAAAAACTTTAGATTCGGCCTCTGTATCGATAATAATATTTATTTCAATAAGATTTTCCAAAAAATATTAAATGTACAGATTCGGCTTAGTTACAATTTTATTATAATATGTATAGAATAATATTATAATAATCTTAGATTATTGACATATTAATAATCTAAGATAATAATATAGAATAGAAAAATAACAAATTTAATATGTATCTACAGTTTACAACATAGGTTACGCACGACGGCTGAATGGACGGCGGAATGTCGTGGGGTTTTGAAATTTTTGAAATTATACTTCTTTATTGGCGCGTTTGGAAAAAAATATGAGAGTAAAATTTTTACAATGCGCGCGCACACCGACAGCCAAAAAGCGACATGATGAAATTAGCTGAAAGCGACATGACGAAGTAAGCTACATTACTTTTATATACCTTTAATATAACTTTCATTTCAGGTGTAAGACGTATACGCAAAATATTCTGAAAAGTTTAAAATAAAAGCTTCCAAGACAAAACGGAGTGTCCATTTTATCAAACCATTTCAAAGTAGTGAAGGCCATTAAATATTATAAATATGAGAGTTTTGATGGATGTTTGTTACTCAATCACGCCAGAACGGCTGAACGGATCTGGTTAAAATTTGGCACAGAGATAGATTATAGTCTGTAATAGTACATAGGTTAACTTTTTATCCCGAAAAAATGTACAGTCCTGTGGGATAGACTTGGTTGTGTTTTTCAAAATGTAACTTCATAATTCATGCTTCATCATTCTTTAAATAGAACTAGAATCACTGTAACTATAATTTTAAAACGAATTTGAATATGAATATCAAATAAAATTCTTAACAATAGCTTAGTATATTATTTAAAACACAGACGACAAATACGGTCTGTTTTCATAACCTTATATATAAAATACAAAGACAATAAAAATATGATAATTGCAATGAACGTGTATATTCCCTTGTGGAGTGAGTCATCATTCCAATACAGCCTTATTAGTCTAGTCTGCACACCTGAACTGTCCTGAGATCGAGTCCCGGGTCGGGCCTAGTTTAGTTATTGAGTCTTTCTGTAAGCCTCAGTAACAGCCCGGACTTGGGAAGTTGGCGGTGTTTCACCCCCGTGCCCGGAGAGCACGTAAAGCCGTCGGTCCTGCGCCTTAACTCTCACTGGTCGTGTCGAGTGGTCGTCCCACCAGAGTATGAGAGTGACAGGAATAGAGAGTGCACTTCTCTCCTGCGCAGTTGGCTAATCTCAATGAGATTGGCCGCCGTGGCCGGAATCGATTAGGAGAACATCATATGGTCTTTATAATGTTAGAAATGCAGACAATGACGCATGTGGTAACAAGTCTCATTTTATAATGGAGCGTGAAAAATTTAATAACTGTTCTCAATAAAGGAATTTATGGATATTTTTAATCAACTGTATCACTTACGAAAAGTCTGTTATTTGTTCAGCTTTTCGCAAATAAGTATAATTTTAATATAAAAGGTGTTACTGTATTTGGTAGTGCATTGTTGAATCTGTCTTCCATTTAGAGCATCATGAGGTGGACTCTGGCTTTTTTGGCACTTATGGTGAGAGACTTTCAGATATTTACTTTATAGAATTAATTAGCTAAATGAAAGCTCTTTAATCATTATACAAAAGAAAGTATAGATCAATATGCAAAAAATACAAAATAAAAGAGTTATGACGAAGGAGTTTACCAGTAATAAAGTAAATTAATGACGAATTTGAATTCGAAGTGTCTTAAAGTAGCTAAATTATTTAAATATTATATTTATAACATTAATCTATATACTTAGCCAAATTAATAGTTTTGAGAGTTTACGTCGGTCTGTTTGAATACGTAAACATGTGTTTTTAATTTAACAGCAAATAATAACTTATATTGATCAAGGCAAATGTAAGATATATGACGATACCTTTGGCTCAGTTTGTAGTAACCCTATTTGTTGTGCCAGCTGTCGCGGGTTCGAGTCCCGCTGGGGGCATTCATTTGTGTAAAGAGCACGAATGTTCGTACTCCAGACATGGGTGTTTATATTTAGTAATATGTATGTATTTAAAGTTATATGTATATGTGTAGTGTATCAACTATCTAGTATCCATAACACAAGCCTCGTAGCTTACCATGGAACTAGATGGTGCTGTGTGGTAATGTCCCCACATATATGCCTATGTAAAGAAAAAGAAAATAAAAAATTGCACACTATACATAGTATTAGTGATTTATCCTCGCTTCTCTCGGGTATATCCCTCGTTTTCTTAATTTATCTATACTAATATTATAAAGAGGTAAAATTTGTGTTTGTGAGTTTATGACGTTGTAGGGGGTAATCTCTGGATCTACTGAACCAATTTAGATGAAATTTGGTAAGAAGATAGCTTGAGACCCTGGGAAGGACATAGAATACTTTTTCTCTCGGAAATCAACACTTAAGGGGGTGAAACCCATTTTCACCCCCTTAAGGGATGATTTCCGGCTAATGAAAGTCTGTATGGGGAATCAACCTAGGGACGAACCCGAGTGAAGCGAGGGTGAGTCGCTTTAATATTAACAACACTCTTTATATTAGTCCAAACCACAGTCTATCTATAAACTTCCAAATTGTCCCAGCCGTTTCAGCGTTAAGTACCTACAAACATACAAAAATAATAATAATACAAGTGATTACAAATTGCATTTTATATTTTAATATGTTATATTTTACAGTGCCTAATGGCTGTCCATGCGAAACCACACTTAAGCAGTAAGTACAAAACTTATATTTACTCGAACTCTTTATTAGTATTTATAGTTATCTAACGTTAGCCTTGTTTTGTTCAGGCATGCGCAAGTATTAGAGCAGGACACTAGAATATGCCTGTTCGTCATAGAATGAGCCTTTTCAGCGTAGAAATGACAAATACACACACACATGGTTGTACGTGTCCAATGGAATTACATCCTTTTTATCCTGGCGCATTCTTAGTCTTAGGATCGATTCCCAAATGGCAAAAGGTAGACCGTACGAGAGAAAGGATTTATTTTCTCTTACTTTGGACCTTTGTGCACTAAAATATATCTCATGCATTTACATTATGTATATTTTTTTAATATCATTCTTAGGACTAGGCGCCGGAGTCGTTGCTGGTATTGCCGCAGGTGCAGATTTAGCTGGTGGAGCTGCTAAAGACTCAGGATCGGGCCTTGGTATTGGAACTGGTCTTGGATTTGGAGCTGGAACTGGAGCAGGATTAGGTGCAGGGTCAGGAGCAGGATCAGGATCAGGTGCAGGATCAGGACCAGATGCAGGGTCAGGTGCAGGGTCAGGAGCAAGATCAGGAGCGTTATTAGGTGCAGGATTAAGTGCAGGATCAGGAGCGGGATCAGGAGCAGAATCAGATGCTTCGGCGACCTCAGATAAAGGAAAAGGAACAATAGCCAATGCGAAATCTGGTTCAGGTACCTCAGTGACCTCAGATAAAGGAAAAGGGTCAAAAGCCAACGCAAAATCGGGTTCAGGTGCTTCAGCAACCTCAGATAAAGAAAAAGGATCCAAAGACAACGCTACATCAGGTTCAGGATCTTCAGCGACCTCAGATAAAGGAAAGGGAACTGGAGCCAAAGCAACATCGGATTCTGGGGCATCAGCAAACTCAGATAAAGGAAAAGGATCAGAAGTCAAAGCAACGTCAGGTTCAGAGGCATCAGCAAATTCACATAAAGGAAAAGGAACAGGAGCCAACGCTACATCGGATTCAGGCGCTTCAACAACCTCAGATAAAGGAAAAGGATCAGAAGCTAACGCAACATCGGATTCAGGTGCTTCGGCGACCTCAGATAAAGGAAAAGGGTCAAAAGCCAACGCAATATCGGGTTCAGGTGCTTCAGCAACCTCAGATAAAGAAAAAGGATCCAAAGCCAACGCTACATCAGGTTCAGGAGCTTCAGCGACCTCAGATAAAGGAAAGGGAACAGGAGCCAAAGCAACATCGGATTCTGGGGCATCAGCAAACTCAGATAAAGGAAAAGGATCAGAAGCCAAAGCAACGTCGAGTTCAGAGGCATCAGCAAATTCACATAAAGGAAAAGGAACAGGAGCCAACGCAACATCGGATTCTGGGGCATCAGCAAACTCAGATAAAGGAAAAGGATCACAAGCCAAAGCAGCGTCGAGTTCAGAGGCATCAGCAAATTCACATAAAGGAAAAGGAACAGGAGCCAACGCAACATCGGATTCTGGGGCATCAGTAAACTCAGATAAAGGAAAAGGATCACAAGCCAAAGCAGCGTCGAGTTCAGAGGCATCAGCAAATTCACCTAAAGGAAAAGGAACAGGAGCCAACGCTACATCCGATTCAGGCGCTTCAACAACCTCAGATAAAAGAAAAGGATCAGAAGCTAACGCAACATCGGATTCAGGTGCTTCGGCGACTTCAGATAAAGGAAAAGGGTCAAAAGCCAACGCAATATCGGGTTCAGGTGCTTCAGCAACCTCAGATAAAGAAAAAGGATCCAAAGCCAACGCTACATCAGGTTCAGGAGCTTCAGCGACCTCAGATAAAGGAAAGGGAACAGGAGCCAAAGCAACATCGGATTCTGGGGCATCAGCAAACTCAGATAAAGGAAAAGGATCAGAAGCCAAAGCAACGTCGAGTTCAGAGGCATCAGCAAATTCACATAAAGGAAAAGGAACAGGAGCCAACGCTACATCGGATTCAGGCGCTTCAACAACCTCAGATAAAGAAAAAGGAACACAAGCCAATGTGACATCGGGTTCAGGCACCTCAGCGACCTCAGATAAAGGAAAAGGATCAGAAACCAACGCAACATCGAGTTCAGGTGCTTCAGCAACCTCAGATAAATTAAAAGGATCAGAAGCTAACGCAACATCGGATTCAGGTGCTTCGGCGACCTCAGATAAAGGAAAAGGGTCAAAAGCCAACGCAATATCGGGTTCAGGTGCTTCAGCAACCTCAGATAAAGAAAAAGGATCCAAAGCCAACGCTACATCAGGTTCAGGAGCTTCAGCGACCTCAGATAAAGGAAAGGGAACAGGAGCCAAAGCAACATCGGATTCTGGGGCATCAGCAAACTCAGATAAAGGAAAAGGATCAGAAGCCAAAGCAACGTCGAGTTCAGAGGCATCAGCAAATTCACATAAAGGAAAAGGAACAGGAGCCAACGCTACATCGGATTCAGGCGCTTCAACAACCTCAGATAAAGAAAAAGGAACACAAGCCAATGCGACATCGGGTTCAGGCACCTCAGCGACCTCAGATAAAGGAAAAGGATCAGAAACCAACGCAACATCGAGTTCAGGTGCTTCAGCAACCTCAGATAAATTAAAAGGATCAGAAGCTAACGCAACATCGGATTCAGGTGCTTCGGCGACTTCAGATAAAGGAAAAGGGTCAAAAGCCAACGCAACATCGGGTTCAGGTGCTTCAGCAACCTCAGATAAAGAAAAAGGATCCAAAACCAACGCTACATCAGGTTCGGGATCTTCAGCGACGTCAGATAAAGGAAAGGGAACCGGAGCCAAAGCAACATCGGATTCTGGGGCATCAGCAAACTCAGATAAAGGAAAAGGATCAGAAGCCAAAGCAACGTCGAATTCAGAGGCATCAGCAAATTCACATAAAGGAAAAGGAACAGGAGCCTACGCTACATCGGATTCAGGCGCTTCAACAACCTCAGATAAAGAAAAAGGAACACAAGCCAATGCGACATCGGGTTCAGGCACCTCAGCGACCTCAGATAAAGGAAAAGGATCAGAAACCAACGCAACATCGAGTTCAGGTGCTTCAGCAACCTCAGATAAATTAAAAGGATCAGAAGCTAACGCAACATCGGATTCAGGTGCTTCGGCGACCTCAGATAAAGGAAAAGGGTCAAAAGCCAACGCAACATCGGGTGCATGTGCTTCAGCAACCTCAGATAAAGAAAAAGGATCCAAAACCAACGCTACATCAGGTTCGGGATCTTCAGCGACCTCAGATAAAGGAAAGGGAACCGGAGCCAAAGCAACATCGGATTCTGGGGCATCAGCAAACTCAGATAAAGGAAAAGAATCAGAAGCCAAAGCAACGTCGAGTTCAGAGGCATCAACAAATTCACATAAAGGAAAAGGAACAGGAGCCAACGCTACATCGGATTCAGGCGCTTCAACAACCTCAGATAAAGAAAAAAGATCAGAAACCAACGCAACATCCGGTTCAGGCGCTTCAGCAATCTCAGATAAAGGGAGAGGATCAGAAGCCAACGTAGCGGAATCAGGAGCTAAAACTGGAACAGGAAGCGGTCCGGGGGCTGGAGATAGTTCTAGCGGAGAGTTGGGATCAGGGTCAGGAAATGGATCAGAAACTAGTGGTTCACCGGAATCAGAAGCGGAAAAAGGATCTGACAAGACACGTTGTAATCGTAAACCTTCCGTCTCCAAAGGTGATAGTGGAGCCGCCAGGAAATCTTTAAGTCTAGGTATCTTTAAAGGCCTTAGCGTTGGCGCTGGCGCATCATCAGCACATGGACTCTCCCTATAAACTTAACAACAATTACATATATTATTCAATAAATTATAAGATACGTGTATTAATTATTTTTAAATAAAATATTAAAATAATAAATTTTCTTTTAATAAATTATTAATTTTGAAAAAAGGTCATTCAAATCTTTTAAGATAAAGGCTCACTAGTACCATTATTCATGTCTATTTCTATATAACGGAATTATCTTTGAACGCGATTTTCACCCCCTTTCAAAACTTCAAATTTAACTGAAACTTTGCACATTTAATAAGGACCGATGATAATACAATAACATGAACGACTCTAATTCGTCCATGTACAATAATTTTAATATAAAAATATACTTTTTAAAAAAACTAAGTAATCACGCGATTATAGCAGATCTAATTAAAAATTGGAAAATAAATTATAGTTTAAAAAAATAAAAAACTGATGAACCGAAATAAAAAGATAAAAATAATTTTTAGTAAAAGAATAATGTGATGAACGAGAAAATTAATGTTATTGTGGAAAAAGCGTGAGGTGCTAGATATCAGTTGGTTATAAATATTTCATTGGTACGATTTCTAAAAGTAGAGTTAGTATAAAAATATATGGTACAACTAGCGACTCAGCCTAGCTTCGCTCGGGTTCGTCCCTAGGTTGATTCTCCATACAAACTTTCATCCCTATTTTCACCCCCTTATGGGATGATTTTTGGGATAGAAAGTATCCTATGTCCTTCCCAGGGTCTCCTACTATCTTCTTACTAAATTTCATCTAAATCGGTTCAGTAGATCCAGAGATAACATAGGGGATATTCTACAACGTCACAAACTCACAAACTTTACCTCTTTATAATATTAGTACAAACTCCACCATTTTTCCACAATAACATTAATCTTCTCGTTTAATCACATTATTCTGATACTAAAAATTATTTGTAACTTTTGGTAATTATTTATTATTTAAACTATATGGGCTTATATTTTTCTTACAAACTTTGTTGTTCACACAAATTATCACGAAGATTTTATTTCAAAATTAATGTTTCATTAATCATCTTTTATCACCGAAATTATTTCGTTTATAATATAGAAAAGTATATCTATACAGATAAATAAGGTTGAAGTGTCTGTGTATAACGTCAAAATAACAGCTTAATTTACTAAATGCATATAAATTTTTTTTTTTTTTTAAATTGTCTGTCTGTCTGCTTATTCCGGCTATCCATTAGAGCCGTTTCCGAGGTACACGAAATAAGTTTATACTCGTATATTTACAAGAATTGCTCATTTATTACAAGATTTTTTTTATAAATTAAATTGTAAACAAATAATAATCAAAGTATGTATGTATTCAGGCCTTTTGAACGTCCCACTGCTGGGCGTGTGCCTCCCATAAATACGAGGGGGATCAGGTCATAGTCCACCACGCTGGCCAAGTGCGGACGGACTGAGCATCTCCTTCGAACACTTGCTAGGCTCTCTCAGACATGCAGGTTTCCCCGTATGTTTTTCTTCGCTGTAAGACAGTGGTAATCATATTAGAAATGATTCGGACATGAAAATGTCAGAAGTGCGAGACCAGGGATTTGAACCCGCCTCATTCGGCTCTCCAAGCGAGCTCGTTGCCACTGGGCTACCACTCCCAAATAATAGAGATATAAGGGGTTCTAAAAATTATGATAACAGATAATATGTGTTAATTCGATTATATTTTATTACATTACGCCCCCTTTCACGATTTCTATCTTCGAAGTGATGAATGATGTCAAAACAAATGTTGTTAGGTTGGGGGATGATTTTTCTATCAGATAAAATATGAAGAAATTTTAAATCGGACTCAGATTAGAGAGTTCCGTAGCATGAAACACTAAAATGTTATACGAGTATATAACTTAATAGCGGCACACCCTCGCTTCACTCGGGTCGTCTCTAGTGAAAAACCAAAAGAACTCTATCCCACGGTATCCGTACATTTTTCCGGGATAAAAGTAGCTTATATGCTATTCCAGACTATAATCTATCTCTGTGCCAAATTTCATCCAGATCCGTTCAGCCGTTCTGGCGTGATTGAGTAACAAACAATCATCCGTCCAAACTTTCGCATTTATATAGTGGTAAGATTATTTTAATATTTAAACAAAATATTTACCCCATCTACAGTTTATTTTTTATTGAAAGCATAAATAAATTTGTTTTTGATAGTTTATCTAAGTGAAACAAAGGTAATTTTGCGTCTGAAGGAACGGAATATTTTAAAAACTACTCAATGGTATATCTGCATTAAAATTTAATGCAGAATTTGACGACTCGTTATGCTCAGTTTGTAGTGACCCTGCTTGCTGTGCCAGCGGTCGCGGGTTCGAGTCCCGCTGGGGGCATTCATTTGTGTGATGAGCACGAATGTTCGTACTCCAGTCATGGATGTTTATAATGTACATTGTAGTGTATCAACTATCTGGTATCCATAACATAAGCCTCGTAGCTTACCGTGGAACTAGATGCTGCGTGTTAATGTACCAACATATTTATTTTATTAAAATATTTTTTGTTGAAAGTATATATCTTTTTCGTTTTTTTTGTATTCTTTTGCTTATTTGTCCTAACGCGACGTTTCGAATGTTTTACAGCAAACATGGTCACGGGAGAGACTGAGAAAGTATTTTATAGTCAAAAGTCATAGTTATTACAGACGATATTAACCCACAAAATCTATAATAATATTATAAAGAGGCAGAATTTGTTTGTTTGTACGCTAATCTCAGGAACTACTAATGCGATTTGCAAAATTCATTTTACATTAGATAACCATCTTATTGAGGAACACTATACCATCATTATGCTACTACCCAAGGGAGCGGAGCAGTAGTACAATATACCTATAGTCTATCTATTCCATAGTATCTAACCGTTAAAACCTACCTATGGACGAACCCGAGTGAACCGAGGGCAAGCCGCTTGTTAAGGAATATAGAATACAATATTATTGTGAATTTTTATATAATCTGTCTAAATATGTATATTTGCCTTCCTTCTAAGGGTTGTAGCACAATGTTAGAACTTCTTCAATAAATAGGTTATGAAATCTAAGTTTCATTCGAATCGGACTGGTAGTTCCACAGATTAACGCGTACAAATAAACATTAAAACAAATAATCTCCTGTATGTATGTATGTATGTATGTATGTATGTATGTATGTATGTATGTATGTATTCAGCCCTTTTTAACGTCCCACTGCCGGGCACGGGCCTCCCTTCAATACAAGGGGGATCAGGCCATAGTCCACCACGCTGGCCAAGTGCGGGTTGGCGGACTTCACATGTCTTTCGAAAATTTGCTAGGTGCTCTCAGACATGCAGGTTTCTTCACGATGTTCTCCTTCATTGTAAGACAAGTGGTAATCAGGTTAAAAATGATTCTCGCATGAAAATATCAGAGGTGCGACCCGGGTTTTGAACCCGCTTCACTCAGTTTCCCAAGCGAGTACGTTACCACTGGGCTACCACTGCCTAAAAATAATTTCTTAGCATTATAATATTACTTAATATAGAATATTGCATCATCACACCCTCAAAATATTTAGACAATAATAATAGAAATGAAATCTAATTAATGTACCCATTTTTATGACTGCCAAAGAGCAATAAAGTTAAATGTAGAGGAAAACCGCGAGGGGATGATTAGAGGGCGTTAAACTAATAATATTCGCTTTGTTGTTATATTATCATTTTCACGTGTTAAAAATATTATATAGCAATCTATACTAATATAAAATATTATAAAGAGGTAAAGTTTGTGAGTTTGTGACGTTGTAGAGGGTAATCTATGAATCTACTGAACCGATTTAGATGAAATTCGGTAAGAAGATAGTTTGAGACCCTGGGAAGGACATAGGATACTTTTTATCCCGGAAATAATTTCTTAAGAGAGTGAAAAGGGGGATAAAAGTTTGTATGGGGAATCAAGCTAGGGACGAACATGAGCGAAGCGAGGGTGAGTTTGAGACGGAGGACGGCTCGACGGTGAGGAGTGAGGGATGAGTGGTATATATAGTATATGTATGCATGTATATAAATGACTTCGACGAGCGGCTCGGCGCACGGCACGACGAGCGCCTCGACGGACGGCTCGACTCATGGCTCGACGAGCGGCTTTTTAAATAAATTTTTAAAATAATTATTAAAATTTTAAATAAAACTCCAAATATCTAACTACCCAAAAGTATAAAGCCTATAAATTTGATTATTAAACCTAAATAAAAAACTCCTTAAAATCGACCTAAAAAGATGGCAACAAATTGACGAATAAACACTTCGAGTATAAAAATTTTAGATACAGTTACTTGTTTTTACATAGATAATATAATAATATTCTATTCATATATGTTTTCCACAAATTTTCAATAATCATAATAATGGTCGAGTTTCAACCAGTGGGCGAACAAGTTTATGTAAATTGTTAAATCCCATCAAAAACATTCTGTAAAAATATTGCAAGTCTCGCAACGCATTTCTTCTACCTCAAAAAGCTATGAGATGTAATGTAAAACCAAGTCGGTTAATTTATTCATTACCTATCTATGAAAGCATCTATCCGACAACTTTGTCATAAATCGTTACCGAATTAGTTAAGTTACAACATTTTATAGTGACCGTATTAATATTAGATATATTTATTTCTTTAATTAATAGAATGACTTGGCCATCGCATGGAAACATAATCACATAAGAGTCTACTACTTTAAATAGCCCTAATTAAACATATCATGACCAAGGTGGACGGACGACTTGGTCAAAGTCGCTGGAGCCCACTAGATGCGGATGGCACAAGACTGGTTGTCGTGGAACTTTTTGGGAGAGGCCTATGTCCAGCTGTGTGTGTGTTTGGGCTGAGATGAACTGAACATAGCACTAGCGGGTCAAATTTATGCATACACTAACATAAATAATGCACTCAGAACGCTAATTTTAGGTAAATTTTGTTATTTGTAGATTCTATTATCATGTGCGATGGCCAAGTCATTCTAT